TCCACCAGTGTGATGAAACACATTTTTTAATTAGTATGTTGAATTAAAGGTTCCCTGTTGACTTGTAGTCCTTCAGCAAAACTAAGCACTTTATGTATATGTCGGTCACTTGTTAGTTAGAGTCAATGATTCCTACACACTACACATGGTGAAATCACCTTTTCAAATGCCTTTATTAATCTATCGCTTCCCTTATTCATTTCATTGCTCTTAATCTTTCTTATCCATTCTTAATCCTTCTACTGTTTTAACCTTTTAATTAATCCTTCTTTTATTCATGTAATTGCTCTTAATCTTTTTATCCTAATCCTTCTTCTGATGTTTTTCTCTTCTGTCCTCTGTTGCTTTTTTATATTTATTATACACTCCTTTTTGTCTTCCCCTTTGAGACCTGCTTGTTGTATCTTTCTTATTCCTTGTATTGTACATGTATTATGTTTGAAGACTTCTTTTTGTTTGGCCTGACTTTTGATTTTTATTGTGTTATTGTCCTGAGCACATGTCTTTGCTTTGCCTGTCAAAGCACTTTGTTATCATCTGTTTGTAAAGGTGTTATATAATTAACGTTATTATTATTATTATTATCAGTATTAAAAGAAGGATTACTATTTCAGTAAGCAGGTGGCATTGCACAAAAAAATATGAAACAATTTCATGAAAATGCTGGGAAGAAGCAGGCTGCTAAAATCAGACTACAGTGTAAATAATAAAGATCAGCTTAACACTTGTCACATGCTGAAGGAAATACATTCAACAATGCAATTTGGCGAGTAGTGCTGGTAAACATGACTTTGTTTATTTACGAGAAAACTCCACAGGGCACGATTAACAGGGTACAGCATTAGCAGTTATTTCAGTCGCTCTTCTTTCTTCCTCCAGGGTAAATACATCGTGTGCTTTGATCCTCTGGACGGCTCATCCAATATCGACTGTCTCGTCTCCATCGGTACTATCTTTTCCGTTTACAAAAAGGTAAAAAACATGGGTTGAATTCTTTGTCCTCCACCCACAAACTTAAAGCTGATCTTTGTGTCGACCTCGTAACTTGATGTCTGTAGCTACTCGTATTCCGTCTCTGTCTTCTGTTGGTATGGATGCTTAAGTAATCTACAAAGAGCTGAAATTAAGTTGACAAGGATTAACACAGTTCATTTTTACTGTTTCTCTTCAGATCAGTGATGATGAGCCCTGTGAGAAGGACGCCCTGCAGCCTGGCAGGAACCTTGTTGCAGCAGGTTATGCGCTGTATGGCAGCGCAACCATGATGGTGATCTCAACTGGCAATGGAGTCAACGGCTTTATGCTCGACCCAGTGAGTCATTTCTGCATAATGTCAGCATATCACATGAAAAAACTTGCAACTTAATTATGTACAAAACGCATTGGTTGTGAGGTAATTTGTAACATTTCTGCTCTTTCCTCATCAGGCAATTGGTGAATTCATCCTGGTCGATCGGGATGTAAAGATCAAGAAGCGGGGAAAGATTTACAGCTTGAATGAAGGTTATGCAAAGTACTTTGAACCCGCTGACACAGAATACGTGCAGAAGAAGAAGTTCCCTCAGGTAACATTCATATCAGGGCATGTGTGAGCTGGGCTTCATTTTAAATATTAACATCTAATACTTAAAAAAACATTAAATGGCTTGTTTTCAGCAAATATCCAGGTCCTCTTGCTGTCCAAGGAACAGTTTATGTTAGTTAAACCACAATAAAATGTTAATATGCTTGTGTTTGCCAGGATTTTGATCTGTAGTATTAAATGAAATGATTGTGTGTTTTCAAATGGAGACTCTTGTCCAGTACAGGTTTATGTAGTGTACTACTAATGCACCATTTTAAATGACTGTAGGATGGCACCGAACCCTTTGGTGCCCGATACATTGGTTCTATGGTGGCAGATGTCCACAGAACGCTGATGTATGGAGGCATCTTTTTATACCCTGGAAATGTGAAGAGCCCCAATGGAAAGGTAAGGAACCACTGAGAATTAAACATTTGAAGCAGGACCTTGGATCATTGATTATTCTATTATAACATCCCGTCTAGGGCTGGAACTCATTTTTTATTTTTGTGTTGATTAATTTTCTTTATTATTTTCCCAGTTATTAAGCTTGAGTTATTTGGTCTTTAAATGAATGGTAAATGTTGAAAAGTGTTTCCTGAAGACTTCTCCTTATGTCTTTTGTCATCATCATCCCAAAGGTATATTCCATTTACTCTCATTAAAGCGTAAAAAAAAGCAAAAGATATTCACATTTAGGAAGGTGGAGACAGATTTGGAAATGTTTATACAATCCAACTCTATAAATCCTCAATCAAAATATAAATAGTTTCCTCTGTATTTATTTTATTGTTTGCTTTGGTCTATAGATTGAATTGCTTTATAGTGACACAGATGGTCTAGTGGTTAGGACTCACCCCAGGTGGGCAAACCAAGGTTCCATCCCAACCTGCTGCTCTTTTCCCCTCATGCCTTCCCCACTCTCCTCTGTTTCCTTCTCGATTCACTGTCCTACCAAATAAAGGATAAAAGTTAAAAAAAAAAAATGTTTAAATCCATAAAACAAATAAACATAAAATAGTTGGTTCAATGGTTTTACGATGAGACCATACTGAAGAAAGTGTCACAATGGTGTTTCTTCACTTCCCGCACTCATCCACTATTACGAGAGTGAGCCAAACATGATGTTGAAAAAGGTAGAAAGGAGCGATTTGTAATGCCTATGAGAAGTTAGAGAAATGACAACCTGTGTGCTTTCATAATACACAAACGCTTCAAGCTTTGAAAACTATCCCCTTCTTTCATCTACAGTGAGTGCAGAAAGCTCATTGGGATTTTGTCGAGCATCTTTTACACTGGAAGCACTCTATAAAGGGAACTCTCCAAAATAAACTGGAAGAACAATACAGCAAGAATGAAAACCATTCCCTTAATATCCTCACTTGCCTATTGTTTTGTGACAGAACATTATTTTACATACATTTTATTATGTAGTGTTTGTTGACCTAAGGCTGTGGTTATAAGTATAGGCATATTTACACAATCCAAACTGAACTCTGCCTCTTCTTTAAAGCTGCGGCTGCTATACGAAGGCAACCCCATGGCCTACATCATAGAGCAGGCGGGCGGCATGGCCTCCACAGGCCTTCAGACCATCCTGGACATCCAGCCTGAGAGCATCCATCAGCGGGTGCCTGTGGCTATGGGCTCCTCTGAAGACGTGTTGGAGTACATCGCCATCTGCCAGAAACATGCAAAGAAGTGAGACAACGCCAAGTTGCTCTCAAGCCAGCCTTAAAAAAAAAAAAAAAAAAAACCTTGTACCTCCAAAGTGACAGTCTTACCAGAAATAAGGAAGTTGTCATCAATCCATTTTTCATAATGTGGTGTGGAGTTTTAAACTGTGCCTTAAGATCAGAAATAGCAGCATTACATCATTGATGAAACCAAATTTGGAGTTACAAGGTTTTGTAGCCACACCAGCATTGATCTGTTTGTAGAAAGCTGAATGATAGTAGAAAGAAGTTGGTGCAATGGTCACCTGAGAACTGTGACTTACAAGCTCAGTTACACACAAACATGCACACATTCCTCAAAAAAGACCAAATATGTCCCAAATTACCACAAACAAATGTACTTGAATAAAGAAAACCTGAAGTCTTTTCCTGCTCTGTTTACCTCCACCTGTGCCTTAACTAGAATAAACATGTTATTTACCTTTGAAGGACCAAATACACAACCTCTATGCAATCAAACCTGTGGCCTTTTACACTGTGAACAACGCCTGTTTGAAATAAAGTCTCAATAAATGAAAAAGTGTTTTTCATCATTTGAAATGTGTCTTATTTAAAAGTTTTACCAGTTTGAAGAGTTTGTTCATTGGGAAGCGAGTCTTCGATATTTTGCAAGTTGCATCAACATGCAGTCTTAACACAATCATGTCTGCTCAGATTAAAGTTCTTCAAACTTCAAACACTCATGTCAAAACCCTAAGAAAATATAATATTATAATAATAAATATATATAAATATATAATATAATAAGTTAGGAAGCCATTTTTAGGGTTCAAAATCTTCAGCTATTCGACTCATAGAACCATGGCATTTTGTAGGCCCCCCCCCCCAAAAAGGTGTTCAACACTTACATGTAAAACAAATTAAAGAGCTCAGGCAGATGCCATATTTGCACATCTGTACAGTAAAATAGAGCAATGTAGGGTTGATTTCTGAGCCCCAGGCAGTCCCCAGTGTTTGAACATATAAATATTTCCATAAGTCCGGATAAAAATATATTATTTGATTGATGTTGTATCAGATTTCACACTATATTACACATATAGAATCTGACATATGGTATGTACAAGCCAAGGTTGCAATTTGTTGCCCGTTTGATATGCTAACTTGTACAGATGGTGAAAATGAGAAAAGAGATCTCTTGTGGATATGAGTGTGTAAAGTTGCAAGTTCCTCTGTATTGTTTTCATGATTTGTATAAACAGAAAACAAGGTTTAAACCCACCAGCTGTGCGTAAGATAAACTATATTATATGCACTAAGCAATTTAGATAATGAGAACAGAATTTGAACTGAAGACTTCAAATAAATTCATAGCAATGAAGAAATTAAACAGCTGGAAGATTTCCTGTTTACAAAAGCAGAGAGATACTTCATCCAGAGGAGTTGACCTTTAACATAAAGGTCACATGAAACTCACACAGCCCTTATGACATTTAAAGTTGAGCTGCCGTTGTCACCCTACCTAGCAACCCCGTCTTTTCTTTTCATGTTACATTTAGTATTAAATTCATTAAATTCATTGTTTTCATGTTCATGTACAAAAAGATGTGGTTAAAGTACTGACAGTTTACCTAAGAGGACTTATATTGCCCAAGTTTTGAGTTGCATCTCACACAATGTTGCAAACTTTTCAACCTCATGATTAACAGCTCTTGTCTTGTGCAGGACTAAACTGTGCTAGTCTTTCTCTATAGCCGACACCTGACACCCCCTCGCCCACCTCCAAATACACACACACACACACACACACACACACACACACACACACACACACACACACACACACACACACACACACACACACACACTCTTCCACTCAGCTGCACACACAAATAGATCCTCTGGCTTGCCGTCATGGCCCTGGGTATGAAAAGGACTTGGCTGGTAATGAGGTCTCTCACTTGCTGTCCGCCCTCCACCTCTCCGGGACAGAAGAACCAGTACCCAGCATGTCGGACCAGTCGGCGTTTGACACGGACGTATGGACCCTGACCCGGTTCGTCATCGAGACCGGTCGCCAGGCCAAGGGGGCGACCGGTGAACTGACCCAGCTCATCAATGCTATTCTGACTGCAATCAAAGCCATCTCCTCTGCTGTGCGTAAGGCAGGCCTGGCCCACTTGTAAGTACTGATGCACATTTATATGTATACTGTCACTGCGCCAACACATAACTCAGAAGTGTATAATGACCGTGTGCAGTTGCAGTGATGTTAAACAAAGGCTAATGTGCAAATGTTATCTCCTATTTAATATAATAATGATTCTTTACTGAACTCTGTTAAACTTGTGCTGCCTGCATACCTCTCTGGAAATGTCAAAGGTCAAGGTCAGCTGCAGGACAGCGGTCCTTAAATTGTTGCTCAGGGTGGTTGTTGTAACATGATTCTTTCCCACAGTAGATGGGTTTTAATGCCAAAAGTTCAAAAAGATTTGAGTTAGTTCTGCAAATGAAGGATTTTTAGGTTTTTTTTTATGAATTCAATTGATCCAACAATAGAAAAGTGAAGTGAGGAACAAGTTGTGCTAAGCTGTGTCAACATGATTGATTGTAATGTGCAGTCAAGCGGTCATGCAGCTGTGTCTGATTTATTTGCATTTCTCTAATCTTGGCGCGATAAAAGACTGCGCCGTGTCTTTTCTGAGTTTTGTGAAGCAGGGGATAACATACAACAGAAAAGAGGTTGTGCAATATTTTAGTTTGTTGAAAAGTGACACAATGGCGAGTTTTTTTTTTCTCGATAAGCGAGGTAATACCTGAAAGAAGCCATGGTGGGGAAAGTATTCAGACTATTCACTTCAGTAAAATTATTATTACCACAATTTCAAAACACTCCAGTATAAGGCAAAAGCCTTATTTTAAACTTGTATGTAAGTAGTACAAGCAAAACAAACGTAAAGAATACAACCAAAAAGTACTCATGAGAGTTTCACTGTTGTATCAGATGTTCAGCATTAGTGTGTTTGCTTGTATTTCTAGGGCTGTAGATGTTAAATGTATGAGCATTTTGATTGCTTGATATACTCCCAGGTTACGTTAGCACCAGTATTATTAATCCTTGTTTTTAATGTGAACTTAAAGCCTACAAATGCAAACAGAGGGGCCTCGAAGGAGAAACTGAGCCAAGCCCCGCAGAATGAGTCATGAATCAGTGAATTTCAATCACATTAAGGTTATGTAACCAAAAACACATCAACATTATTTTAAACTATTTTAAGATACTTGATAAAATGCTCATGGCTCCTGGTCCAAAGGTAATGAATGATCACATTGTTGTCTTCATCACACTTTTTCTTAGCACCCTCTTGCACCTTCTAAGAGCAGAACAATCTCTTCTTTTTCAAAAGATGCATGCTAACAAGTTGTCTCTTAATGAAGTAGGCTATTTATATACGTGAGGCTAAATCCTGGCTGCTGATTGGCTGTTCCACACAGACAGGGTATGGCGGGCTCAGTGAACGTGACGGGAGATGATGTGAAGAAGCTGGACGTGCTGTCTAACCTCCTGGTCATCAACATGCTGCAGGCCTCTTACGGTACCTGCTGCATGGTGTCTGAAGAGAACAAGGAGATCATCGTCACGCCCAAAGATAAGAGGGTGAGAGGTGAACGACAGTCCTCTGTCTCACTGCATGGAGAAGGAGGCCAGGTTTTTTAAGACAGGGAGGTGTTAAGGATAGATCCATTATTCAAAAGTTGATGACATATTATTAGCACACAGATGTTAATTAATCAGACTAAGGAGAATGAGTCAGTCAAAAAAAAGTTTTCAACATGAAAATAGCCCACCTAAAATGATGTTCAAGCTCACTAAGCCATGATTTAGGGTCTATTGCTACTTCCATTTGGTGCTGCCAAAGTGTGAGTTCATGTGATGAAGAAAATGTTCGAGGAAGTTACTGAATCTGAGAGGCAAACAGTGTGTCCATACCTTCATCAAAACATTTCATCATATACATTTCCATTTCTCATTAGCTACATTGAACAATGATTTATTAAGCTGCAGTTTTCCGGAAACTTCCTTCAGATCTGCTGTTTGGTCGCATTACTGCATTATATCTGGAGTCCTTTTTTCTTTATGTATCCAAAACATTTTACTTGGTGAAAAGTTAATTGTTTGACTTTTACACCACCAGAGCTTTCGTTGTAGTATATCTTAACATCAAGATAACTATTTCATAAGAAAGAATATTTTCAGATAACTACTCTAAACAGTGTCTGAGGGGCAGGGGGAAAGTAAATGACTTAAACTTATTATGCACTCTATAATGTTTTCTCCAGTGAAATATCAAAAATGAGTAATCTACATTGCATAATATCCACAGGATCAACACTTCTCCACCGGAGGGGCACTCTAAAGGGTGCTACATCTCATTTTTCCCCGAGTCCTGCCCTGACATGTGACCACATTGTCCTCTTTTAGCTGCTGAATGAATATTGCATTGTCCCTGGAATTCCCATCGAACTAGACGACCCATAAATAATTAAGAACTGAATACGAAGACGTTTACTGAATTCATTTCAGTAAACTCATTTCAATGTAAAGGTTTGAGACAGTGATTGCTATTTATTATTTTAAAAAAGGGGGAAGAAATACATTTTGGGAAAATAAAGGTCTTAAACTGATGAAGGTCTCTTACCGATAGAAACAGAGCATGCTTTAATACATTTGTATTATCAGTAGTTTTGTGAGGGTACTTATTAGAGCAAAACTTAACTTAACTTTAAACAACATCTAAGCCTGATTTTTTTTTTTCCCACACAGGGAAAGTACGTGGTCTGCTTTGACCCTCTGGATGGTTCCAGTAACATCGACTGCTTGGCTTCAATCGGCACCATATTTGCCATCTACAAACGGGTGAGACTGATGCAGCTAGATACACAAAACACTCTGACAACATTGTTATGATTATTCTGCTGAGAATGTGTTGATATTACAATGTAAGGTTAAAAAAAAAAAAAAAAAGTCTGATTAAAATAGAGGAAAACATTTTTTCTATAGTGTGTTTTTCTTAAATACATAACTGAGAGTCATTCATGTATTGTAAAACAGCAAAATTCTTTAATTTTATGGTTTTATTTGAAGATGTTCTTTTAATCAGTCATTTTTTTACCTTGAAAGTGCACTGACACTCTGCAGACACAAGGGGGCATTGCAGTCCAGCTAATCTGGGTGTCTGCGTGCAGATCATGTTATCAAATACTTTCCAGGGTTACAGCCTGTTTTACTGGCTTTACAAGCAGTAGAGAACCAATGCAGGAAATGTTGTTTAGTCATAGTTGACAAACACGTAAAACATCTCATAAGCTACAAATAAAAACGCACAGCACACACACTTGTTCACAGCTGGGTGCACAAGAACTCACTATGAATTATGCTTGTTTTTCACACTTCAAATACATAACTTTGTCTTGATAACTTCAACTAAATTCTCAGCATCAGGGTACTGCACAGTGGGCTCCCTCTCTTTTATAGTTGATTGAAAACTTTTGGCTGTAAATGGCTGCATTTAGTCCTTTAACAAACTTTTTTTTAGATATTGCTATCTGTAAATCGTCACCACTTTTTGTCATGTGGTTCAGGTTACAGATGGGGAGCCCACAGAGGAAGATGCCCTGCAGCCTGGAAACAACATGGTGTGTGCGGGATACGCCCTGTACGGCAGTGCCACACTGGTCGCCCTCAGCACAGGTGCTGGCCTCAACTTCTTTATGCTGGACCCTGTGAGTATCTCATAGTCACTGCCTTTTAATGTAAACTCTGCAGCAATCTTCTTTCCGCATCCTCCCCTACTCAACTTTATTGTCTCTCCCTCTGTGTTTTTATGCTTTTATTGCCCTATAACCTTTTATTTAAGAAAACACACATTATTCTCATGTCAATCATTCCTTAATGCTGCTCCTCTCCACAATTAAATCAGGGATGAAGAGGACTGTGAATACACATAAGTCCTTTTTTATTTGGTGAAAAAGGTTGCATAACCTCAATTATCCTTTCAGGAATGCTTATGAAATCCAACGTAAGAGCAAATCACATTGTATAAAGATCCCTTAATGCAACAGAGAAAGAAAATCATCCCTTACAAAAAATCATTTCAGCTTGTATCGTTTGTCTTGGATGATTAGCACATCTTTTTTTTCCACAACATTTTTATCATCTTGTTTTTATTTTAAGCAGTTAGGGTCCCAACACAGGGAACTACATACAGCATGTTCTGTGTACAGGTTCAATACCACACATAAATACAAATCTTCAAGGAAAACAACTGATCATCAGGAATTTGTTTTTTGAAAAGCAGCTTTAGTTATTGCAGGACAAAAGCTTCACTATATGTTACCGTTGGTAGTCTGCTTGTTGTTGTTTTGCACCCCGAGAATAGAATAGATCTGCCACCCTACTCTGCTGCTTTTTACTCATGATATTCAAGGGCTTCGAGAGATTTTCAGGCCTTACAAGAATAATATTGCATCTGCACTCCTAAGTCTTTCCAATAATGCCATAACACATTACCCTCTATTGCTATGTAATATTATGTTGTGTTATGATTATTATTGGCCTCCAAGAATGTATCCATGAAACACTGCATTTTAATGGACTTTTTCATGTCTTTCTGATGATTTAATTTTCTTTAGTAACCACATATCTTCTTTGAGGAAAATCTCCAATGCATGTTGATGATTTAGTATCGCAATCAAAAGGTGAACTTTTTTTTTTTTAAATCCTTTTAATGTGTTTTGAAGAATCTATTTCTACCAAATATTCATTTACACAAATCCAACTGCAGTGAATTACATTTTTGAATATACTTCTAAGTGTAACCCAGTCTTTTGAAGGGCTCAGGTGTAGTTTTTAACCCTGTAAAAATTATATTCAGGCCATTGGGGAGTTCATTCTGACTGAGAGGAACGTGAAAATAAAGCCAAAGGGGAAGATCTACAGTGTGAACGAGGGCTACGCCAAGTACTTCCACCCCTCCATCAACGAATACCTCAAACATAAAAAGTACCCAGAGGTAAGAACATATCACAGAATTATAACTTCTATAGAGACACTGCAGTGCACAGAATCGTATGAATGATCCCCCCTTAATTTGTCTTTTGAAATTGATCAGTGACACTTTTCCTTTGTTGCTTTGAATCTGAAACCTTGAACCAGAGCTGTGTCATAGAAGTGAGTCTTGTAGCCTCTCAAACTGCTGACACACAGCTATACTGAACTCTTCTGGCCTCAGCACACATTTTAAACACCAGAGGCCTCTCAAACTCATTATGTGAACCCTGAGCAAGCATTTGCTCAGGCTCAGTGAGTTGACATTTGGACTTTTAAATAACGCTCAGGTTAAATTGAGGTTTACTGCATCTCAAAGACAGAGAGTGACAGCATGAGTGAAAACTGCTTATCCGTATTTCACGGTCGTTTTAGCAATATTCTAACACTCTGTAATAATCTGCTTTATCTTTTAAACAAATTGATACACCACATATATATTGTCAATATAAGACGTGCACTGAAACATTAAAGTGACAAACATAAGTTTAAAATGGAGTGAAGAAACATCATGCAAACAAGTACCACAGCAAGAGGAGCATGTGATAAAGGGTCAGTCAGGCGTGATAGTGAGACAGGTCGGTCAGCTGATCTTCAGGATGGCAACTAACTTCAGGAAACATCGTGTTCCTCAGGAAACTACAGCTTGTCATCAGTGCACAAACACTGGCGCACACTCAGCACTTCTCCAGCACACTCATCCAACATGACCGCAATTTTTGTTTGGTCATCAGTATCCATCTCATCTGTCATAGGTTCCATCAATTTCCAAACTGTCATGAAATATTGTCTGGATAATATTGTCTTCTTCTTTTTTTTTATAATTCCCATCATCTTTTTTTTATCTGATGTTCTTGTGTTTCAAATACATGGGTCAGACGTGGCCATCGAACAGGCCGGGGGGGTCTGGCACAGTGTAGTTCCTAGAGCAGGGTATATAATATATTAATATTAGATTTGGCTCTCAAAGGCTTGTTTGAGCAGTGAATCAAAATATTTGAAGAAACATTTTGGATCTTTTCACTACTGCCCTGGTTACTGAAACTGTTTTTACCAAACTGACCGAAACACAAGCTCCACTTTTTTCTAGAATATATACATTTATATATTTGTATATGTTGGTTTTCCAACATGTTAAACAACCTCTCCCAAAGCTTTACTTATACTGCAACTCTCACTTTCATTCAGATCCAGACTCTTCTGTATGCCCCTGCATTAAATGTAATGGACTGTTTGTCATATATTATGCTTGCCTTTGCTTTCACTATTTGTATCTCGTTTCCTCTATTTGAGGTTATTTTTCATCTTTTTTTCTGCACTCTCTGATATCCAAATAAGTCTTTTTATAATACCGTGTGTTTCTTTTCTTATCAAATTCTGTAAAACCCTTTGAATAGCCTTTTATGCTAAACCAACCATTGCATCTTTCGTCGGTTAAGTTAGGTTTTTGCGGATGCGGTGAAGTTATGAATTCCATAACTTTTGAGCTGAGCCATCTTTCCTTAATGATATGCAAAGTGATAGTGTAAGTTTAAACATCTTAAATATTGTTTCAGATTCTTCCACACCACGCAAAAGCAATATTTCATTCTACAGAAATGATTTATATGAAATTTGAAATGTTGTCCTGCTGTGTATCTAGTACTAAACTTTTCTTAAACCAGCTGAACGCTCATCATCATCATGATACACTTCACGAACCCATAATGACCCAGCACATTGTAGCAGTAACCACACTGTGACTCAGTTTCACTGGTGTGTTGTGAAATGATAAAAAAAGACTTGTCACAAGGCTGATCTGAATCACAAATGTTGTTTTACTGACTGACAGGGAAGATTAGATCTCGTGTAAAGGTAAAATCTATTGTCCTGTTCAAACCTAAGTGATAATCAGCGGCGATTCTAGAGTCTGCTGGGCTGGGGCCCTAAGCACAATTTACTGGGGGCCCCTCTAACCAGCGTTCATCGCCATTATGTTTAACATAATCTGACACCAATGGCAACTTTAAGTGACCAACATGAGTTTTCAAAGGAATAATATAAGCTTAAGTTGTTTACTTAGCAGATCAACAACATAGAGTACTGTCAGATGGGGCCCCTTTAGGGAGGTTTCCTGTCATTGTAAAATCTGCACATTCTGAGCCACTGCTGTGGTTTGTCAGTCCTTGGGGGGGGGGGGGGGGGGCATGTCATTCCCCACTCTCTCTCTCTCTCTCTCTCTCTCTCTCTCTCTCTCTGATTTCTGACTCTATCCACCCTATATCTCTAAATAAAGACATAAAAAAGCCCAACAATAAAGAAGTGTTTCTTCTTCTTCTCAGTACTTTTTCCTAAAACACAAGATAGAGACTATCATTTCATTTTATATCAGATAAAGTGAAATCTTTTAATGATTTCTTTTGAGCCTAAACTGATCAAATGACACCAGATAGTTGTCTATGACTCAAACTAAAATATTTGTGCGCTAAGTCCTTGAAAACTTGCAGGTCAACACCACCTGATCAGTGCTTTCAGAACATTTATATTCTCATGAATATTTATACGTTTTGAGAAAAAAAATTCTTACACTTCTCCCTTTTAAAATTTCCCACAGCGTCTTTCTTTTTCATTTTCTGTTCTTTTATTTTAGGAAGTTTCATTTTGTCTGAACCGCCACCAGCTGAATGTGTTTAAATGAGAGTGTTGCGTAGTGTGGGTGGGTCTGTTTTTGGGAAATACTCTGCAAACACACACACACACACACACACACACACACACACACACACACACACACACACACACACACACACACACACACACACACACACACACACACACACACACAGACACAAACACACTCATCGCTCCCTCATGACGACTGGGCTGTGACTCTGCAAGCACATGACTCTGCATCACGTTGTGCCCGTCTGAACATGAAGCTCACTTCAGGGAAACTACAATCAGGTTTGACTTCAGGAATGTTTTGGCGGAAGCAGCTCTATACACAATAAAGCAAACACTTGTTGCTTTGCAAAAAATATGATTTTGTTGTACCCTTAAAGTCCACCTGTAAACCCATGCAGGACTTTTGAAACAGGCTGTTTTTGATGTTTGACGTAACACAGTGATCGCTTCTTTCAGCAGCAGATGGACTTTGACCTCCCTGTTGTTTGTTGATGAGTTTTTCAGGTCAGAAACGGCCCATGATCTCTGAAGGAAACAGATCTGCTGTGGCTGCAACTTTCAAAACCGCCTGACTAAGTTGTTTATGTACCACTATTTTATAATTAAACTGTATTATTAATATATTGGACAACTAATTAAACTTAAAATAGCTTACGGCCACTCTGAGTTCCAGATTTGCTTAGAAAATGCAGCAAAGTCTACAGTATGAATGTAAACCAATTTCTGTCACATCGCAGTAGTTTTATTAGTTCTCTTAACACAAACAGAAAGTTATTCAAAAACAGTTGTCAGTTCTATTCATGTATGTTATTAAGTTTTCTCTATATCAAAAGAATAGGGAGCATTTTTAATTTTTTAATCATTAAAAATAGAAAAATTAAATAATGCAAGAGAGAACATTATTTTTTAATTTGATTCAGTGATGCTTTAGTATGAACATACAGAGCAGTGCATAAGAGCAGAGCAGTGTAGAGGGACTGTAATATTTCCCTCTTTCATGTAGTGTAGACATGTTTTTTTTTTCAGCACTTGTTTGGTTAAACATGAGCTATATCAAACAGTTTCCTCAGAAGATGTCAGTGTGGTTGACCTGTTGGGGAGAAATAGTCAAAATTGTAAAATAAGACCTCTGTTGTACTTTTTAAAAGGTTCAGTATCCGAGTATAATGATGACTCCTCCAGACTGTCTGGAACCTTTTACCACTTCAAAGAGGTTTTATTATCTGACAGCTTAAAGCCTAAACGACTCTGGATACAATCAGAGAAATGAAATGTGCAGCATAGCAGAAGCCTGCTATACCAGTCCAAACATTTGATTCATATGGCTTCTAGTACAATGTTATATACATGCACTGAGTATGATATGATTTTTTTAAAAACATAAACTACCTTTGAGTGTGTTGATAGTTATTTAATATACGATTCAGAACATTGTGCATAAGCTGCAGCCATGTTTGTTCATAAAAATGCCTCGTTGGTTTTTAAACCCAGCACATGTTAGATAATCAGGTGTGATTTACCTACTGAATCAAGCTGAGTGGAACTCTGTAGGAACAGGCTGATATGGCAAAGTAAATAAAACATGACCTTGAGTATGTGTTAAAAACACAAAACAGTTTTACAGTTTTATGTTCTGAAGTGAATATCTGCATTAAGAGTTTGTGTATTTATTAAGTGAGATACACAGAAAGTAGCTGATCCTGTTAAGCTACCTGCATTTTAGATATTAAACAAAGGCCTCTAAATAATTGATTATCCTGTGACTGGAAAATTACACATGAAGATAGGGACTTAGCCTCATTGGAAATAGTCCTCTGTTAAAAAGTAATAAACATTGTTCAAACCTGAAGTGGGAAATATGTAAAGAATTTTACTTACAAACTAACTGTGTGTACATGTCCAAGTAATCTGGGCCATACAACCCTTAAATGAGGTCATGTAAGTAAAACTTTTCCCCTGTAATGGTATTTTACAGAGATTTATTTTTGTTAAAACCATGCATTAAGAGTAAGATACAATGTATTGACTCCATGTACTTATAATAAAATGCACTCTTGTCCTCTGCAGGACGGCAGCGCTCCATATGGAGCTCGGTATGTGGGCTCCATGGTGTCGGATATTCATCGCACCATCACCTACGGAGGTATCTTCATGTATCCGGCCAATGAGAAGAGCCCCAAAGGAAAGGTAACCCATCATTTCAAGAAGCTCATTTCACCTCACCAGTTTCTTATTGACATTAACAGGTTCATTTTCTGAGCTAAAAGACCTAATTAAACTCTAAAAACTTTAAAAAATGTAGATTGTGGACATTATATATAACCTTATCTGTATCCTCAGCATGACATAAGCTTCTCCGTGGTTCAGTCACATAGCTCATATGTGAACTTTTGCTGGAGCAAACTATTCTTCTGGGGTTTGTTGCATCATCTAAAAGTATTTTCATGATTCCATAAATGTTTACTTAATGTGCAGAATGATAAGATTATTTTGTGTGGGTAGAAACACAGGCTAAAATCAAGTGTCTGCACCGCAAAGGCCTGCTCAATGGAGGAGTGAACTCCTTCTCCTTCAGGTGGACCCCAAAGGAAGGTTATGTCAGAATAAGTTTATCTGGCTTATGAAGAAAAAATTGGACCCGACCTGATTTATTACTGAGCCAAGTTGTAGCAGAGTCACCTGTCAGAAGTCACACAATGAGCCTCAGCAGTTTTTTTTTCATAGGCTCTGTTAGAGCTGGAACAATCTTCATATTTTCCTTTGTCTTCCCTGATTACACATTTACACTAAACAGTACAATCTCAAAGTCCAACTTCAGTGTAAGGCACCTGTTCTTGTTGCCTGATGGATTTTATTGACACACATACCTTCAGTGACACACTGTACTGGGGATCCAGCTCTAGTGAAACCTGAGATTGTTTTTTCTGGGGGTGAGATAAATAAAGCTCAGACACAGTTCAGGGCTGGTTATAAAGACAAACAACAACCTCTTACATGTTCCATAACAACGATGATCAAATTTGTGACCCATGTATCCTGAAACAAGCTGTTATTATTTATATCGCTGACAATAGCTTACGCGCGTTTTCAACGTTGTCTTTGTAGTGGGTGAAGAACGACTCTCCAGATAGCGGTGTGTGTCCGTGTTTATTTTGCCAATGTCTTTCCTTATTTTGTTTCCTGCTGTTTTTTTCTTCTTTTGTTTTCAACTTTCTTTCCATTTCAACTTCCTTTGAATTCTCCTGTTCTTCCTTTTTTTTATGTCTTTCTTTCTTTAGTTTCCTTCTTCCTTTTTAAATTTTCTAAATAATTAGATTTCTTTCACGTTTCCATTTTCTGTTCTTTCTCTTGTTTCTTTTTATTTTTCCTAACTGTGTTCTCTTTTTCTTGCCTGTATAAATCTGTCCCTTTATTTTTTCTTCTTCTTTTCATACATGCTTTAGCCGTCTCAGACTTACACTTTCCTATTTCTCTATGCACCTAAATGACTTTTTCTAACCTGTATTTTGGAGCCACATCACACTGTCATATATTTGATACGAAACAATATCCAGTTTAAACACAGATTTCTGTCAGTTCATGTAGATGTACCTGACAGCAATATGCGTATTTGAAGCTGTTTTTGTATTTATCATGAAATAACATAATATACTGTCTGCTACAAAATAAAGAAAGTTAATTTTTTGGTTGAAAGAAGTGATTACCGAAGAAATCAGTCATTTTACCCTAAAATATGAAGTCTAAAATAAGCGTGCTGTTTAATAAGTGTTCCTTCTTGTGTTTCCTTTTGCATTTATCCCTCCAAGCTGCGGCTGCTGTACGAGTGTAACCCCATCGCTTTCCTCATCGAGCAAGCAGGAGGCCTCTCCACCACCGGCACCCAGAGGATACTGGACGTTCAGCCTGAATCAATCCACCAGCGGGTGCCCTTCGTGGCTGGATCCCATGATGACGTCAATGAGTACCTGTCTTTTGTCCAGAAGTACCAGTAGGCTTGAGTAAAACAAGTGCTCTCCAAGTATTTCAATATTGAAAGGTCAAAAAAGCTTATTAATAAGACATGTCAAGAGATTATTTTTGGACTTAAGAAAAGGACAATCAGGAAGATCAATTGAAGAAAACCCCGACACTGCTCACTGTACACTACAGCCTGTCGTTGCACGTCTTCTTTTGACATGTCCTCCAACATTTTCCTAAGAAATGAATATGTTTTGTTCAGTCCAACATTATAAATATATGGTTTTTCTTTTAAAGCAGCTCAACTTGTCTAAATTCCCTGAATTACAACACTTTTTTCTCAGTTTGCACAACGTGTGCTATAAAGGAATGTCCAGTTTCTCTTTGACTTAAAATGATGTATTTTAGTGTCGTTTAACCCATGAAATGAATTTGTTCTCCCGTATTTTAATATACCAACTCTGCCATAGAAACTGAATTAAAGCTGCACATTTGAAATTGAGAAGAGTCCATTAAGAATTTCCAAACGATCAGCAGAAAGCAAAATTAACTTCCAACAAATCCATTCTGTGTTTCTTTAATTGTTTCCTTGTTTCTGTATCTGTTACCTTAGTTTGTTTCCTTTTCTCCTTGATAATTTCACCCATTGTTTCCTTCTTCTATGTCAAATAATTTCCTTGTTTTGTTCTTTTTTTCATTCACATTTTGTTGTGTTTCCTACTTCCCTTCTTTTGTCAGTCCTGATGTCTTTACTGTCTCTTCTTTCCCAGACTTTTCTTCTTCTTTGAGTCATTTCATATTCTTTCTCCTCTCTTTCCTTTCTTGAGTCATTTCATTTCCATTTTATATTCCTCTTACTCTTCTTCCTGCTTTCCTCCCTTCCATGTCCTTCCTTTCCTCCCTTTGTTTATTTATGTCATGAAAATAAAACAGTGCCCTGAGTAGAACCTCCTCAAAGTAAAGTCTTCAATGAGTTTCATCTGTCATATTATTCAGTCAACAGTTTATAAAAAGCCAGAGCATTTGACAAACCTTCATTCAACCAGCTGCTCTACTGTTCAATGTGCACATCAACATGAACTCAGTAAACTCCTTTAACCTCCCAGCTTTACTTTAAAAACAACTTTTCTTTCTGTGATTTGGGTCAGTCAGCAGGAACCATCTGACCTACCATGGCTTGTTTACATCGACTTAAGAACGATTACTAAGTCAAAAAACAAACAAAGATAAACTCTTGAAGAAATCCTGCATTTAAGAAGAAGAGGTCAAAGTAGCCACATGCGTCATAACCCTTTCAGAGCACTCTTTGTGATTACAATTTTAGCCCAGTGTTAACGATGCATAATAATAACATGATAGTATTATGGTGATAATGTAAATACATACAAATATTTCAAAAGTGTAAACTATTTGGTACGTCGGTGGCGTGGGGGTTGGTGACCTGGCTTTGAATCCGACCTGAAGCATTCCCTGCTCTCTCTCCCTCGTTTCTGGCTGTGTCCAGCTGCCCTGTCTCTACATTAAAGGCATAAAAAGCCAAAAAAAATCAACCTTTAAAAAAAAGTGTATTTATTATTTAACCTTTATTTAACCAGTTTCCCATTTAGATTAAGGACCTCTTTTCCAAGGGAGACCTGGCCAAGATGGTCAGCAGCAAAAACATAAAGTTACACACAGAGACACAAAGGGTGACAAAGTGCAATTTACCAAAACATTTCATTTCACATTAAAAGAGAACCATATATGAGTCAAAACCGGGAGTCAGTAGTTCAAGCAGTTCACACTAAAAGCGAGGACATCCTATAGACTCGGCTTCCATGACTTTCAGTTTAGATTTAAAAACATTTGAGGACACTGCTCCTTGAATGTTAGGTGTAAACTACTTGTTATTGTTCCTAACTCATTTCTATTCAAAAAGTTAAGAACTAATCAATACATTTACTATTACTACTACTTATTTTTATTGTTGAAATATATTTTTATATTCACCTATAATTTCCTCTTTTAGCGGAAAACTTAGTATCTAATCAATACATAGAGAAGTGAAAAAGTTAGTAACAAAGCTAGAACATCATAACATTTTATTTTAAGTGATAAATTGACAACTCCAAAAAGACTTTCCCTGACTTTCTTGTTGAATATTTCTTGCAATCTAGTATGAATGTCTGATGAAACATGTCTTCTGAGGACTTCACCTTAGATGTCGTCATTTAAAGAGTAAAAAATGATTTATCTTGAATTAAGCTAAACAGTGAAGTGAATCATTATTTCTGGCCCTGGTTAGCATGTTAGACCACAGGTCTCATTTAAGGTGACCAACAGTAAAGAGTTTCTTTATGAATCAAAGCTATTGTTAACGAATGAATAATCCTATAAGATGCCTGTACCAGACGTCAGGGAGCACAGCTGTTTATTCTCAAGACCACATGACCCTTCTCTACATTTCAAACCGGCCTGTAGGATTACAGCTGAAAATCATCTGAATGCCAGAAATGTAACTTTTAGTAGCAACATTTGTTCCCATGGTAGAGCAGGTCCAGAAATGTTTAGTGATCAGTTGGTTTTTTTTATGCAGAGACAGCTGGAAATGTAACTTCCAGTTGTCAATACCAGGTTTCAAAACAAAGACCCTTCATCAATGATCGCCTGCAAGTGCTTTGTCCATGTGAGCAGAACTCTATATTCCTTGTATTATTTTCACTTGCTTAATATTTCATGGAGCTTAATATTTGCCGAGATAGTGAAAAGCATATATATATTTTTATATACAGTAGATTACTGTATTCAATAGGAAAGGTTTTGCCCTCCCCACCCATGTAAAAACATTAGCTTTATAAAACAATCAAAAATACTCAAACACTTAACTAGTGTTTCACAACTTTAATTGATCACAGTAAAAATAAAAAAATCATTTACAATGACCGAAGCAAGTTTTTAAACATTTCACTTACCAAGTAGCATACACATATTTACAAAGAATAAAACACCAGACTAAAATAAAGTGGCATAACACCAGCCAAGACAGAATGGCGCCATTTCCCTAAAAACAAAAACAGTGTTTTCTGTTCTCCTGACACATTGTTGATCGTCCTGGGGATGCTCGCCATTCTTACTGAGGTATTGTCCTCCAGCCTTCAGCCAAGCAGTCACAACTCAAAAAAACAAAACAACAACAACAACAACATGATGCTACAAAGTGGAGCTGTGTAAACATTAGACTAGAGGATAACTGGCCGCTGTTGCGATGCCGCAGTGGTTCTTTCTGTCTTTAGCCATCATGATGTAGCCTTTGTCTCCCCAGTTTTCACTCCAGCTGCAATCAAACAAAACAACAGTGATTGGTTTGGCATGGGCTGGATTCATAAAAATATGTATACATACAATTTACTGAATCTTTCTTAGCTATAGTCAGTTCGATATCTAGAAATCCTAAATGTTAAAAACATTACAGAGGAATAATGCTAACATAACATTAGTCACTGACCTGTTCTTCACAATCCAGTATTTCTTGCCATCCACATCTTCTCCCTCAAAGCCATAACCCACGACCAGCACACCGTGGTCCAGCTCCTCGCTGCTGCACTCCTTCTCATAGTAAATTCCTGAGAAGAAGAAAAAAAAAAGTCAGTTACATATTGACTCTGGCTACAAACAGTGTTTAAATGTTTCTTTTTCCTTCCATCAAAAACTAACCTGATTGGTAAAACTGGAAGGACTCGTGACCAGCGTCGATGGCAACCGATACAGGTCCCACAGCAGCCACAGCCTTCATCAGGGCGTGCTCTTTGCCGCTTGGGATATCGACAAATCCTGTGTCATTAGCAGAGTTGTAGCTGGGGTCGTAGTGACAGGGCTGGTCATCCTACAAAGAAAATCCAGAGAAGAAGCAAAGGGTGAGCGAGGATTTATGTGGCCAACATAATTCTATTAACCAGAGCAATTATTTCAATAAAATGTTATTATGTTTTAAGGAAACATGCAACGCATGATTTTTTTTGAATGTTCGGCTGAATAAGAAAAATTACTTTAAAATGTGTTGCAGCGGGCTGTAGCTTTTGAGGTATTTTTAAAAATCAAACAATACAACAGGAATATTTTAAATACTGGGTTGATCATTAAATGAAAATATTTTTTAGCAGACAGTGCTTAGTATATTTGGAAAAACTTTCATAAAAAAAACAAAAGGGGTCCTTTATAGCCATCTAATGGTGGTCAATTGTTTTTTGCAGTACAAATTAGCAATGCAAGATGAGAAGAAAACAACAACATACTTTGGTCAAAAGTATAGCAATTCAATTATTTGTACATCTAATAGGCATCCATTTGACTGCCCACCCCCCCTTCCCATCAGATACGTACTGTTCCCAGGTACGGGTAAGAATCCTCGGAGTCCAGGCCCTGGTTGTCCTTGATGTACTGGAAGGCCTGGTCCATCAAACCGCCATTGCAGCCCTCGTTTCCCTCGGGTCTGGAGCAGTCCACCAGGTTCTGCTCGCTCAGAGACACCAGTTTGCCCGTCTTCCTGAAGTGCTGACCCTCCATAGCGCCGGTGGTGCTGAAGGCCCAGCAGGAGCCACACTGACCCTGAGAGGGAGGCAGACACAGAAGGTTGAGAATAATGAATGTTAGCATGAAATATTGCCTTAGTCATACTGTTGGTTGCTGATAATTTGTAGCTTTGATAGTCAATTGCAGAAATACAATGACTGAATTTGAGTGCAGACCAGGATGGTCACTTTTTAGATTTGCAGGTTGTCTCTCTTCATGAGCTTTGAGAATTTTAACTATGACAAGACTGTCATTTTTTCTTTTGGATATATTAAAATTTCTTGTCATTATTGGTTAACTTCTTTTTTTTTTTGGTCAGTCTGTTATGTTACATCATGCATCTTGTTTTTGCAAGTCATCTTCTCAGCAGCTACTTCGGCACTTTACACTAATGTATAGAAGAGGTGCTCCACCCCAGCCGGATTTACAGTCAGCCAGTCAGACTGGTTTCAGCTTACAGGCTGTAAATGCATGTGGAGGGGGTGGAGACAGAATGTGCACCAAAGAGGAGGAGAATCTGTGTGGAGCAAACAGATAAGAAAAACAAGCCCACTGGCAGCCATGTTATCATTCTGTCCAGGCTAAACATTAACTTCAGGGGACAGAGAGCCATTCAAATAACCAGAGCTGCATCTGCTGCAAGACCATGTTGAATAATCATGTTTACAAAATGTATTGTTCAGCAGACGCTAGTCCATGAATCATCTGTTATGCAAACATAGTTCTTAAAAATAAGAGCCTGGAGTTTAAGTAAACATAGCATATCACTGCTACAACAAATGAGCTGTGCTGTCAAGTCATTGGGATTTCAGCAGAGCAATGGATTTGTGTACTGAAGAAAAACAAGCTGCTTTACAAAAAGTCATTTGTACTTTTAAATTGTAAAAAAAGAAGCAGAATACAAAGGGTGTCCCATCAGCCATGATGATGTGAACCATTTGAATCCAAACAGAATTGTTTTCTAATGAAAAGTTAGTGTATTCAACTTTGTTTTTAAAGTGTCTTATCATAACCTGACATTTTATTGGTGAGCCCAGAGGTTGCATGAGAAATTAGAAACAGTCGTTACCTGGTCCTTCACAGGGGTGACGTAGCCCTTCTCCCTCCAGTCCACTGAACGAGGTGCCTCCAGGAAGTTTGGTTCCATGAACAGCGACCCTGTGGACTTTCTCTCTGCTTTACGCTTGTAGCCGTTCATGATTTGCCTGAACTCCTCGTGAGTCTGTGGGAAAAAAAATAATTGTACTGAATAGCCGTTTAAGTTTTATCCAGTTTCATTCTCTAAGTGTTATGCTTAAAAATGTGTTCACTGCTACATATAGTATTTGGCTTCTTTATTCTATTTCTCTGACCTGTACAATATTGATTTAGTTTGCAAGTATGTGATTCATGTTGACAGTGACTTACAACAGAATTTAATGAAAGATGTTCAATGCTTTATCTGCTAACTCATGACTGGTTTCTCCAACCTTTACACTCTTTACCTTATCTACTCCACCGCTTATCAAGACCCTTTTAATTGCCATTCTTTAAGTTCCCACACCTTTTATAAACTGATATGCATTTTCCATTTGAGATATGCCCATGTGGTGAAACTGTGGTCTTACCACGTCTCCAAAGTGGTTCATGCCCAGGTAGTAGGAATGTTTGCCCATGGTGTGCTCCAGGTTGTGCAGCTCAATCTTTCTCAGGTTCTTCTCCCACACCATCCTTCTCCATCCTTCCTCCTTCTACAAAAAAAAAAATAAAGATCAACATTTAGCCTGCTTCATGGTAGTTTTAGCAGATTTCTAGGCCCAAGTGTGTACAATCTGAGGTAAGAAGCTATTACCTCATGGTATTTCTTAGAGTGCCAACTCTTCCACAAGTCCCAGTGCTGATCCAGCTGAGGGTCTAGGATGGGCACTGCCATGGCTGCTCCCAGGCACACGGCCAACAAGGCTAAAGGCAGCATTGTGAATACCTACCGGGAAATAAACACAGGTTAGCGTTGGAGGGGGTGGGGGAAATACTCTTATTATCAGTACTCCTTGAAGAAAAGTTTCCCCATCGTAATTCTGAAACAGTCTGTGATGCAGTTCGTCTACTCTCGTGATTTAGGCCGAAATGAGATCAGCAACAGGAAACAGACCAGACTCCCGACAGTGTCGTCATCTCCCGACTGCACTAAAAGTAGGGATTCACGTAAAGCCTCATAATCGATAGCAGACCCCCCCCCCCCCCCCAACCCGAAAGCACAATATTGACAGTATGCAGCAAACACAAGCGGAGATATTAGCTGTCTGAGGCTTGATTTTGATTTTGAAGCCACAAATCCCCAACAACAGACCAGGCTGTTTTGTGTTTTTTTTGTTCGCAGTCACGGGATCTGCGCCTCCTGCGGGACACACAACAAACCCGGCTAGACACCGAAACTACAACCAGGAAAGCGAAAAGAAAACCAAAACTATCATAGGAAGCTGTCAGCGTGCTCGGGACACAGCTGTAACGTGTCGCTGCTTTGATTGAGTGAGACAACAAGCGAGCTCCATTCAGCTCAAGTCTTCTCGACGACAACAACAAAGGTAGCGGAATGAAACAAGATGGCTGAGGGTCGAGGATAACTATTAAAATCGTTTGCATTTCGGACTTTGAGACTACTTTTTAAGATTACATTTAAGCTTAGCTGTTTGTTCTGAAACAGACTCTCGTGAGTTATACAACAATTGGTAAAATGTCCTAAAATCCCCGAAGAAACACGGATATTCGGTCGTACTTTAAATTACTGCCCTTAATTTTAACTCTGACACTTTAGTAATTTGACGTAAAAACACAGATTAATGAATAATGTTCAACTTACGGTCTTTTCTTGGACGAAGGCGAAGAAGGAGAAAACAACTGCCTTTGGATGCGGTACACAAAGTTTATAAAGGCCTGAGTGGCCGCTATGTCACGTCCCACCGAGCTCTCTGATTGGCTCATTTGTTGTTTATTTAAGCGTTGCTCCGCCCTGACGCGTGACGTCACGCGAGATGCACGTGATTCTCTAATTAATCAAAGAAAGGACATAATGTAATTTTCAACACTGTTGCGGTGAAAAGTGTGAAAAAGACATATTTTCTATTAAAAAAATATCACCAGTCACTTACAAGGCTACCAGGCACATGTGACTGTGAAGATATGCAAGTAAAAAAACAAAAAAAATCGTTTAAATGATCAATTTAGCCACAAGACTTTAAATGGATTAGGTAGAGAGACAAAGGGCTATGCTTAAATACTAACCAATTCAGAGCCAACTATTATTTATTATGTTTCTATGTATGCCTTTCAGGAATAAAAGAGGCTTTAACAAACACAGTCATCTTTTTTGTATTCATTTAGAGACAAAAGTGCTGAAATTCAGTAGCACGTTAAAGTTAAGGTGAAAGCCTGTCAGGACAAGACATTACATTTGTTTGTTTGTTCTGCAGAGGAGAAAATACGTGAGAGAATACAACAGTTACAGTGTGAAAATTAAATATTTTTTAAATGTTTCTAAAAAACCGATGAATTAACTTGTTTTTTGGGGGTATTAACATTGAACTTTAAGGACAAATAAGATGTAGATTATCAGCGGACATTAAGCAGGAGAACGTCCTAGAACTGCTGTCCCAGCCTGAGTGAATCTGGGTCAATTCTCATGTGATTGATAAGATTTTGAAACTTTGAACTGTCAGAGTTGTTTTTGCCTAAAACAGAAGCTGATTCTGGATTTCCTATTTCTCAACAAAGTCAGCGGTGGGAATTTAAGCTTGGATTGAATTTGAAGGATGCTTTATTACTTCCACTCTGCCAGTTTTCTGAGTGATAATACTGATAATAATACAACGAATAAATAAAAATGACTATTATTAGGCTATTATTATTATTATTATTATTACAACATAAGCTTTCAGGAATAAACTTGCCTGGCTTTACTTTAACCCAGTCTTTTTTCTAAGCAATGCTAATAGTGCTAATAGCTGAAGCTTCATACATTTCATAACATGCAGTTCTAGAAAGTAGTCTAACTAAAACCTGCATTCATTAACCTTCTTTTAATGTCCATTCAATTAATCATATCATTATGTTGTCACATGCAGGGTGCATGATGTTCACACATTTTCCTTCATGCAACTCTGTGGTGAAGTTAACACGGCATCATACTTTACAGCAAGCTAATTATGTCCTTACATTTGCAGGAATCAGAACACAGACATGCATTCTCAGCAGTGGTTGTGTGACAGAATCCTGTTGCTCAAGAGGAGAGACTCATGACAATAGTGGACTGAGCACTTCCTTTATGAGCGTGCAAGTTTGGTTCGTGCACAATCATGTCCATATTTAGGAACAGTTTTGAATCAGATTATACTGAGCTGTGTTTCCCTAGTGAATAAATGGATGGAATTAGGTGACAATGCATACATGCTCAACCTTATCAGAAAAGTGTATTTCAAATTACACGCTGTTTGTAACTTCCTGTTTAATTTGATTATTCTCCTTTTTGAATTGACAGAATTACTATTGTGCATTTGATTGAAGTCAACTTCAAACTTTGCAGTCGGCAATTTCTGCCAATAGTTACTAAATAATATATTGTACTCTTGTATCTGCACAGTAAAATTTTTGCTTAGCAAGGTAACATTCTTCAAAAAGTACATTCTTCAAAAAGTAATGGGCAGTTTTGTGCTCGGCGCTATTTCTTTCCCTTGTATTTATGCTAAGCTAACTGGCTATGACTCAACAACTAGTTTGTACATGACCCAGTAGAATTATTTTATCCCATTTTGGAGTCTTACTATGCTAAAATAAGCTTGTTAACTGCTGGTTAGTGAATTAACATGTCAAAAAAAGTCTCTTTCCACAGATTGCAGGTCACTACAGCATTAGGGCCAGTCTCATCAAAATGAGCTGTTAATCATTTGCTCTTGTCTTTAATCTATGATTTAGTTAAATTCAGTGCTAGTCTTAATTTTAACAGGCTTATGTTGAGGCATGACATAATGCAGCCTATTCTTTATCTGTAGACATCCATCCCGCAGATTAGCAGTCAACAAACACAATACAGCAAAGAATGTTAATCAACTGCCTGTCCTGACACACAAAGGTTAACTTGAACAGATTAACATGTCTACAGACACAGTGTTGTTGGATCATGGAGGTATTTTAGGTAAACTAACAAAAACTTTGACACTCAGATTTTTTTTACCTTAAAAACAGCAAAACCTGTCTTTAAGAACTCTGTTCAACGAACTCATGGTAAATAGGCTTTAAAACATGATACATACTAGGGGCTTTTTAGTGTACAGTGAGTACTTTGAGGACCATGTTACTGATCTGATTATGACATACTTCTAAGATGGTAAATTACAATGTAGTATTGCTGCTTTAACTCAGGATCTGAATAGTTCTCCAAGCACTGCCAACACAGAAAGCATAATAAACAACTTATTGATGTATGTGTATTTGGTAAATCAGGGAAACCTTTTGTCTTGTGCTTTATTTGTCTCTACCAGATTCCAGGTTGTTATTAACACGTCTCTGGGTTCTTTGTGGAGCTTCCGCTGCAGGGTTGTCTAACCCTCCACCTACACATTCACATGACCTGCCTGCATGCAGCCCAAAGCAGTCTGGGGTTTGTCTTAACTTGTCCCAACTTGATTTATAAACATTTGTACAGGAAGAGACTGATGTGACATTTAAGCATGTTACCTGAGTGTGTCGTGCTTATTCTGCAGGTTGGCACTGAAGCGTTGACTATGGGGACTTTTTTTTGTTTAAGGATGTTCGAATTTGGGTTTATAAATATGCAATATGTCTGGGGTTTCCACTGAAATAAATACATACCAAAATAAACAAAGTAATAGACTATAACCTCAAAAACATCTGTCAAAAGATATTTGTTACAGATAATTCAGTTCAAACATTTGAACTTATATTTCTAATGACATTTCTAAAATAACTTTCACACTTTCCCTAAAATAATCAACAACAAAAAAAACCTTTATAAAGTAGTTTCCATGTGACCACGAGTTCAAACATCTGGTGGAATCAGTTCTGCCTCCAAAAAAGAAAACAGGTCCACATATTAAATATGAACAGTACAGTTATGTCACCTCTTCAGCACTCCTCTTCCTTGCGAAAACGTCATCTCATTGTGATGAAAGAACATCGCCCTCCTCCTGGTGTAAACTGTAAAGCAGTGAATAGAAAAAACAACATACTTGCAGACTCATTGTCACAAAGTGCGTATGTTTTTTCCTTTGTGTTTGACTGCTTCATTATTAAATTATCAGAAAAGGAAAAAAATCCACAATGAAGGTTTCATTTATGATTTGGTCTCCTGCAGGTTTGACATCAGATTGGTGAAAATCAAGCAGATGTTAATTGACAATATACAATTCAAAAATATTCCCGGCCTCAAAAACACAATTTTTAAAATTAAGCATTTCTTCGACTATTAATACTGTGAAGCATGGTCAACGTATGATTGCATGTTTTTGGTATATCCACTTGAAAATGTTCTTATATGTTTATACTGTTCACATAAAGAAGTTACATTTTTCCAATCTACAGAAACATCATTATGTGTACGTCTTTTAAATAAAGAACAGAGAGCATGATATTAGGTAAAGAATTTATTATAAAATGTTTTACACTATAAAGTGTCAGAAGTACTAAGAACATGGCATTCCAAGACATGCTGAAATAATGTAACATAAATAGCGACAAAAAGACCTGTGCAATGCAGCGTCTGGATCAGAGTCTCCAAAGGGGGACATTTACTCGACTAATATTGAGTTCATCAAATTTTCCTTTTCAAACACACAAATGTTTTTAAGAACACCTTCATAATCGACATGTTTTCGTCGTACTCGCAGATCAGAACAATCCAAGGAAAAAACAGACACCAAACAGAGACGGAGTCAATAATAGTAGAATGATTCCCAGATTTGACTCTTTTTCTGAAACAAGAGATTATTCACTTCCCTTTCTTGACCTTCTTTCTTAAAGTTTGTGTTCTGTACACAGTGTACTTAAAAGACACGAACATTGGCAAAGTTTTTTATACACATCTTTAACAAAAGGCTTCAACTAAACAAGAAAAATATAATATTTTAGTGATCAGTTTGGAGACACATAACATTGCTGTACACATGTTTTTACCACCGTGATGTTAGATTTCTTTGAACATGTTTACATATTATCAGGAGCGATGTGTAGCACATTCATTTTGCCTGGTTGGGGAACATATTCAGGTAACAAAAAAAGAAGAAGCTTCAAGCGAGTTGAAAACAAACAGAAAAATATAAGGTGAAGTTGAAGAAACAGGCATGAAGTATTTACATCACAGCTGGAAGTTTGCTGTGTCATTTGGCGACTTCAGGCTGGGACAAAAATAGTGAGAGAAGTCTTGTTTTTTTTAAATAAAAAGTCTCCTTTTATCTGTGTGAACAGACAGTAACACTGGGGGAAGTAAAGCAGAAAGGAAATACTGGTAAAGAGGTCATCTTTTATGATCAAACTGTGACACTGTCCTGGAACATGGTATACATTAAAGAGATAAGACTCTTTTTTTTAGAAGACATGTTTTCAAAAGAAACATTTTCATGGTTCACAAACATATAAAGTATCAATTAACACACAAAGGGATTTTTTCTGGGATATTTGTGTCTTCAGCAGCCTTTGGCATTTGTTTTGTTAAAAATACTTCCAAACTTAATGCCGTCCATATTCCTGCTTTTTGCTGACTGAGTCGTGTTTCAGCTTAAAGAAGACTCAAAGAAAGACAAACTGAAAGAAGATGTGAAGCCACGCAAAGTCAACCAACGACTCAGCACGGTAAGCTAAATTGAAGCTCGACAGAAGCGGCATCAACGTCACTGTTTGGAAATCAGGCACCGTGGACGGTTGCTAATACAGAAAAAAAAAAACGGGTTGAGAAAGCATTAAAATGTGCAGAGTAGGTCTTAATATAAATTACTTTTTAGCCTGATAGGAAGTGTAAAACATGTACTGGTTTACTTGTCATATTTGGTGGCATTTTCTATTCAAAGTGTTCAGTATGAGTGCACAAATGGAGCTCTACGTTGGACCCTGTAATTCCAACCCGTGTGCCTTTAGGATTTCTAACATTAGACACTCTGAGTTTTGTTTTCAGCAAATATTAGATGGTGCTGCAAGGATGAACATCTTCCAATAAGACACAGTACATTGGGGAAAACACATGTTCTAAAATGGCTTATGGTCCCTTTGTGAGAAGTCAATATGAGTTAATGGACATTTCAGTGTAAATATTCAAAGAAACAAATCGTGCTACAAGTCCTACAAGACCTAAACTGTTTTGGAGGTTCCTGGAAAGAGCAATCTTGTAATTTGGTAATAGTTATGGTAAACTAAAGAGTCAGGGTCTATCTATTTACTCTACTGATCCCAAGCAGGTTCTGTTTGGATAAGTTACAACAAAAATGAGGTACATTTTCTCATTTCCTATTAAATGATAAAGTACATTCATTTATTTTATAGTAACTCTTAACACACTATTATACAATCTAACTTGTATTAAAGGTGACACAGTTTAATCAGAGTAGCCAATTAATCACTGGATTGTAATGGAACTGTTTTCATCGTTGGATAGTTAGTCAGACCAGACCAACCAGACAACTTGGGCTTTGTGGCATTTTTCCACAATTTTCTGTTATTTTTTAGACAAAACAAATTAATCAAGAAAACATATAATTGAGACACAACTATTGTTCAAAGGGGTTATCTTACAAACATTTTAATCTGATTTAATTGTTTGTTTTTTTGGCCACATGGTGGTAGCAGAACAAGCTGAAAACAACACTGGAATGTCATCAACTTTATAAAGTGATTTGGTGAAATTGCAAATATTTTGAGCTGTTTTACTGGGCACGATTTCACCATGTTCCCTGTTCATTAACTTACCAACTAAGCAATCTCATGCCAGAGTAGTGGATAAAAAAACAAAAACATAACAACAATGACAAATCAATCCTACCAAACAGACTACACGTCTCTGCTGAGCTGCAGAATTCACATCATTTTCTTCCCCTTTGACGCCAGAACAATTTCACAAAATCTTTGGATCCATTGCAAATATAAAAATGATGTTAGAAAGAACATAATTATATAGGTATTGTGACCTAGAGACACTATCACTCAGATACACAGTGTGAAAAGTTTCACTTTTTTTCTGTCTAATGTTTTAGCAGCTTGTTTAAGGATCTATAATGTTTACCAAATTACATAATTCTCATCAGGAAAAGTCGAGACAGTTCAGACAATATAGGACCCTTAAAATACTTTGTCACCAAAAAGAATCAGTTATAAGATTACTGTTGTGGGATTAATAATCTGTATCAACCCACACATGGATCAAACATGATATTGTTTCCCTTTGACTCTGCCTACAACTCCCACAAAGCATGAAATCAACTCCTCACTGACTGTAATATGAGACAGATTCAACATGTTCAACATGTTTTATCTCCCAAACACTAAACACAACAAAGCAGAACTCTCCTCTGATTTCACCTTTGTGTTAAACAAACCCTGTAACAAGAGCAGAGCTTTCTTTTCTTTTTTATTTCTCATGCTCTTACTTCATTCACTTTTTCTGCCGAAAATGTAACATGGCCGTATCTCAATAGAAATGATTGAATTTATTTTACTATTAGTGTCAACAAGGCACAGTTCTTCAAAATATTTCCTTTTTTTTTTTCTTTTTTTTTTTACAAAGGACTGTTTTTAATAACAAGACTATTTGTGCTCTTCAGGGAGGTAGACAGCCACAAAGGCACTCTGAAAAAATGCTGTTAATCCATTAAACACTAAGCTGAACAGCCAAAACTCACCTCAGTAACACAGAAGCAACAATGGGGATCAGATTTGATGTAACTGTGTGGATGGAATAGGGTAAGCCTAGTATGGTCATGGATATAAACTATTCCTCCATTTTTTTTTTTTTGCTTGAGGATGGATGTGTCAAAACTTGCCAGCTTTTTTTTTTTTATGTTTCTATTCATTTAAAAATGTAATGGTTCTGTCAATTGCTGTAAGAGTGAGACTCCGATGTGCAGTAGATCAGGAGGGATATTAAAAAGCAGCACAAGATTAAGAACAAAATAAAAGCACTAGATTCCTCTTTGGAGCTCAGGACAATCAGCTCTTTCACAACATTCATAGAGGAAGGAAAGTCAGATGTACAGATGTGGAGAGTACAAACACGACATCTGGTTCACACGCCAACTTAATATAGCATTGAAGAACGAGCAGCTGGACTCTGGTAAGGATTGCACTTCATGATCACTAACACAAACGTCTTGTGTCAGTTCTGTTTTCAGGAAAACGTCTTCTCAGAATATTTGACATTTGGCAGGAAGCCGACCCTGATTGGTTCAGCGGGAAATGACAGAACTGATGGAGTTGTACGATGTTCCACCGTTGCTGATGGGTGGGTAGCCATTAGCGGCCCCGCCCACCGCCTCCATATTGACCCTGAAAACAGGTGAGGCTTTAAGCAGGAAGTCGGCAGCGTCTCTGCGGCCAAGCTCCCTCAGCTTGGCCATCAACACACCCACTGTGCTGTCCGCTCGCCCGCTCCACTCCTGCAGCAGAGCTGCCGTGGGGCTGGGCTGCAACAAGGCCTGCTGAGAATCCGGCTCAGAATCCAGCTCAAGGGCGCCATTTACAGTTCCATTGCTGTGTTTGGCCACCAAGTCTGTGAGGCCGAGGTTCATGGCGAGCAGGCACCAGTCTTTGCCGAGAGCATCAGGAGGGTCCAGCATGCGGCAAAGCTTCCTGCGAGCCAGAAGGGGGACATCTGAAATGTGGATGTCCGTTCCAAGAATACCCTGCTGGTAAACTTCGGCACAGCCAAAAGCCAGGATGCTACTAAAGCTCTCACGATATCCGCCCATGGTGTTGGTGAGCGAGGTTTCTCTCTGTACCTGTGCTCTGAAGAAGTCTTTGGGCTGGTAGATCATGATGGGGGCATGGTGCTCCCTCAGCTGCTGAGGACTCAGGTAATATTTGGCCGTGAGCAGTCCAGGCAGGGTGGAGGCCAGCAGGTTCTCTGTGATACTGCAGATGGTGTCCAGCAGAGTGTAGCACTTTGCCCGCTCTGATTCGTGCCCACGCACCTGAATCTCCAAACCCTGCCCATGATTGACCAGCAGGATCATGGCCTCCACTCCCCCTGGCTCACCTTGGCTCCGTTGGTCCACAGGTGGATATCTCCATCGAAATCCTCCCCACCCTCCTCCTCGGGCTTCTGCTGGTGGCTCCAGCGACACAAATTCACCTGCAGTTTGTGAAATAGGCCACAGGGGAAGGGTGTAAGGTGCTCTGCAGGGACCAGTCGAACCCCCCCATAGAGCAGAGACTCCTCCTCCTCCTCTTCGGTCCAAGAGCGGTGGAGGCCGTTGGTCTTGATGAGGGCGGGAACATCCACCATGGAGGGGTTGGTGGCGTCACGGGAACAGACATCCATGGCATCCAGGATCTGCAGCAGCTCGTCCACATCGCTTTCAGGAGCCAGAGCTTGGATTTCCTCCAGCCTGTAGCGCCCCCTGTAGTGGTGGATGGCTTTGGGTGTCTCCACAGAGAGCAGCTTGCCGAGCACGTTGCTGCAGAGCCAGCGAGGTTCAAGAAGAACAACATCCTGCACCGTCTCACTCTGCATGATGTTGATCTGTTGAGGGGGGCATACAGGAAGAGGATAAAGGATGGTGAGAGAAGAAGAGGAACATATAATGAAGGGAGATATTATATATATTATAAGAAACAAATTATGGGATGCATATCTACTGCATGACCTACTTTAAGACAAAAACCTCAGCAAACACTCAAAGAATCTGTTCTCAAACTCCGGGTTATTCTGTCACTTGGCGCTCTGAGCTTTGACTCATTCTGGTAAATAAACAGAGAGACAACAAGTTCCTGCCCTCTGGTAAAGCTGAGTAATTGTTTACTGCTGTTTTGGTTTATTTTTTTCCCATGAACAAATAGCACCCCTTAGTGGTAGCCTGGACAAATTACAGCCATAAACCATTAAATGGCGCAATATAAACAATTAATACAATAAGAAGTCCTTGAGCAGCAGTGATGCAGCAAATCTAGATCAAGCATTTATATTTATTTAACAACAGAAAAAAATATCAATAACAATATTTTGTCATATAACAGATGTTTGTTTACATTTCTGTAAGATGTAATAGTGTTTTCTGTTTGATTTTTACACCCCAGCCCCCATGTCATCCTGATGCAGGACACAGCCTGGTGTGGCCCTTCATAAACAGACTCATACCTCCCCCATGCTGTGCAGCTGCAGGGCCAGTGTGCGCAGGTGATCCTGGCTGACCAAAGGGTTGATGTGCTCCTGAACGTCGCTGACAAACTGTTGCCATGACGTCAGCTGGTTGGGACCGCTCATCTTCCTCCAGGTCGGCAGGGTGGTCAGCAAACGTTCCGACAGCAATGTCATGGGAATACAACTCTGCAGTGACAGAGGAGGTAGGGAGGATAGTAAGGACATTAACTGTATGTTATTATGTTACCGACTTTTTTTTTTTTTTTTCCAGAAACAAACACATAAAGGAGAAAAACTATATTCGAGAGTCAGTTACTGGAATTCAACATAGTCTCATAAAAACACTTCACTTTAATTCCTAATGCGGACAGGAAAGACACAGGAAGAGTAACAAGTGTTTGCAGAACTCACAGAGATGATGTTGGTGCGTAGTTCCTGCAGGTGAGTCCTCAGCAGCTTCACGTCTCTGGAGTTTGAGGCTCCAGCATCCGTCACAAACAATTTTTCACTGATGTGCAGGTCGACACCAAACCTGAAAACAACGAAATCAAAACAAACAAAACCAAACATTTTGAAAACTAAAAACATCTCATGTTGAGTCTAAAAGATCCTTTTTGTCTGCACTAATGTTGTGGGACATTCAAGTACTAAGTGCTAAGCTTTTGTAGTTTAAAACAGGTGGAAAATGTAGTAATAACATAAATCCCCACTCATTAAAGTCAAGTAATTAATTAATTACAGCCACCATGTTGTATTGTTTTGTTCTCCATAGCGGTGATGCTTAAGATGATGGGTAGCGAGTTATGAACTGCTATTGATCATAGAAAAAAAAACTGTTTGTGTTACCTCTATCAGTCAATTTATTGGGGAAACATATGCCTTTGCATTGTGAGAAAAAAAAAATACAAACTGCAATGAGATCATGTGGTGTGCTGGTGTTCAAGTCCTGACCTGTTCCTAACTTCTTTGAGCAGAGCTTTCTCTTTGTCGTAGCAGAACTCTCCAGAGAAAGCTCTGGGGACATCAGCTAGGTCAGCGTGAGTCGCCACCAGAACAACTTCAAGAGGCTGCTGGATCCGACCTCCAAACGCTAGACAAACAAAGTGAAACACACACACATACGGTCATCACAGAACATCTTTTGACATATCACACAACTTTTTGCACTTTTTAGGTATTGTTAAATGAGATTCTAAACTGTCTTATTATTTTGCTTGGTGTCTTTGTTTGGGAACCTGTCTCTTAAAAACAAAAACTGTCTAAATCAAATAGAGACATGGTCCAGTTGGCTGATTGGAGAGTCACAGCTTAACCCAGAAGAAGCCCTGTACATCATATAGTTGCAGAGGATATTTGGCTCCATTTAAAAAGACGACTCCCACCCTTTAAATTTTGAATTTCAGCTCCTTCCGTCAGTATAAAGTACCAACCTGCAAAACTAAGAGATACAAGAACAGCTTTGTCCCAGCAGCCAACAGTGAGATGAACAAGTCATAAAGCAGTAGCAATTTTCTTTTGGAGCCTTTTTAGCAAATTTATTGATCTCTGCACTTTTAATCTTATCCTTCCTTTATCTTATTTTTACAGTTTGCTTATTTCTATCTTGTTTTTACTTACAATGTTTTACTAATTGATGGTATAATCTTATTTTTGTCTTGTTTTTATTTGTCTTATTCTTACTGATAGGTTACTTTATCTTGTTTTTACAGGTCATTCTCTTAGTATTGAGTACTTGTGACTTCATCATGTTTTGTCCTGTGCTCTGGTTTGTGTGTAAAGGGAGGCCGACTAAATACTGTAAACCAAATTTAACTACAGGTACAAATAAAGTTACCTTGCCTTAACTTACAGTAGTTGCCATGTGTTACTTGTTTGACAGGGAAGGACTACAACTAAACTTTACTTATCTTCAAATTTCTCTTAATGTAAGTAAAACTTTACATTTGTGCTGCAATAACTAAGACGATGCAAAAGTCTAATCAAAACCATTTTTTTCCTTTTGTCATCGAGGCAATAATAAGTGCTTGGATCTATTTACCTGGATTGCATTACAATCACTTTTTAATTTTTTCTCATTTTCAAATAAATAGTAAAATGAATTAGTATATTAGTCATATAACATCACTGTCCCTGTCCCTGTCCTCACCGATGTTGTCCTGTGGCAGCATCATGGCCTTTAGCAGGTTCAGCCAGTAGGTGATGTGGCTCAGTTGGGTCTCATACGGCTCCTCCAGACTGAACAGAACCAAATGGATCGCTGTGGCATCATTGGCTGCAAAGTAGTCATAGGTGCAGTAATAGACTGGGTTCCCTGAAAACTCCCACACGCTGAAATCGCCAACACCTACAGAGAGGGCAACATGTCAAATCAACAGAATATCAGTACTAATGGAGTACCAATCCAGAGTTGTATTAGTATTTATGATGAGTTCTTCCTCCATCACTGGCTCTCACCGTTGATGTTGGCGTGCTGGATGTCGATGGCCTTTGTGGCCTGTTCATCTGCTGCGGACAGAGCGTTGTGGACGGGGGAGAAGACCTCCAACACTCCTTTGGTCAGGCTCGGCTCAAACATCATGCTGCGACTGCGCACACTCACGTTCTCACAGCCCGGGTACAGGTTGGATATGCTCACCGACACTGAACAGAGGAAAAACACATCAAGTCAGACCGACAGGACTGAAACTGTTAAAACCTCTCTGCAGCACGGTCAGATTTAGTTGATGTGACGGTTTACTTGGCTGCATCACAGATTCAATGAGCGATAATTTAATCAAGTTCTTCAGAATGAATTATGAATCTTTGCATTTGGTTTTGATCTTGGAGTTTTCTTACACTTTATACAGAAATAGCATCATTATGGTCAAATAGAAAAACGTGAAGTTAAATATAAAAACACCATTAACTTAAGTGAGCTGCAAAAACATGACTTTGTTATGATGAATAATCTCAACTAGAATAAATACTTTGTATCCTAAAATATATTTTTCAAACAATCATTGCACACTCACTAACACATGGGGGAGCTATTGTATTGCTAATCGTTCACTTTGCAGACATGCCATTTGGATTCCATTGACACTCTGTAAGACCACACCTACAACTTGTTTTCAAGGGTCTTGAGCAACTTTTTAACTGCAGTTTAGTTTCTTGCTGTAAATGCTCTTCTCTTGGTGCAAATCAATCTCAGATAGCTTCTCACCAGGGCAAACAAAAGACAACACATGCCTAAATTAAACTGCTTTAAGCATTTGTTTAAGGTGAGAATTCACTCTGTCACTGAACACAAGACTGTATCTTATCTTGTGATATCCTGCTGTTTTAACACTGACTGTCTGATCAAGTAAATTAAAAGTCAAACAAAGTTGTCCAAACAGAAAGCACCTATTGTTCTATAATCACTTATAAAATAAGCGACACTAGCTTTACCATGATCGTCTGGATTCATTTAATAAACACTTTGCTAACTCAGCTAAATTGCTGTTTTGACATTTCTGTCTGCATAAGCAAACACAACAGTGAGAATAATGCTGCAGATCATGACAATTATCTTGCAGTAAATTGATTTTCTAGTTTTAGGTCAGACAACTGCTTTTATTTTGGACTTCTGGGATAAATAGCTGCCCATGTGTCTGTGTCAACTTTTCTGTTTATGACATGAATAAGCATCCTAAAGAAAGGATACTTTCTAATTTCAAAATAAATAAATTGAAAACTAGGAGAACCAGGCCTCAATTTAAGCAAAGCACAAGTCTCTTCAATGCTTTTCTGTGCCTTTAACAGATGACTAAAGGGAGTGAATAAAAGAAGATCAATCTCTCTCATAACTGAAGCATGAACATCCAGAATGACCAGAAGTGAGTGCACACAGCAGAATACTATTAGGTGTCAACACTATCACAACATTTTTACTCTAGACCCATTTAAACATGCATTAAACAGTTACACTTTGTATTCTGACAGGCTTACAAAAGAACATAAATCAATACTTTTAAAAAGTCTGCTTGAATAGAAATATAATACGCAGACCAAGTGACATAATGACAGCCTGCTCCCTCTCCGGCATCTTCTTTGTGTTTCACGGAGGAGTCATATCACTTATCTCTTCAGATATAAAACAACCTCAAGGAGTATTTTACTGTATTTAGCTTGAGTTGGAAGAGGGAGAAAAAAGCTATTTCAACCTCCCCATCAGCAGGGACAGATGCTGCAGATTTCCAGGTAGCATAGAGGACGGGATCAGTAACATTATACGGCTCAACCTCACTATTATCAGAGTATCATGTCTGTCTGGGAGGTAATGGTTGTGAGTGCCGCAGAATGGAGCGCTCGAAGGAAACACAATGGTACAAATGTGTGTGTTGATGTGTGTGTGGGAGGGCGAGTAGAGTGCAAATACAGAGAGATTGAATTCAAAGTGTGAGTGTGTGTAGGTTTTTTACACTACACTGAACATGTCAGGGAGTCTTACCACAGATCTGTCACTGTGTTTCTTTTTGAAGTTCACAGCAGAAAAGACGACATGTTTCCAGTTAAAGATTTGAGTTCAGCTATTGGAGTAATGGGGGTTCATGATTGAGGTTACTGGGTGAGTTGCCAGATTAAATAGGGATGAAAGACAGAACAATGTTTGTGTTTTGGTGCTTATTATGTACATAGTGTAGACTGATGTGTGAAGGCATTATAGGTTTTGTTTGTGTAAAAAAAATGATGCATCCAGGTGAAAATGGGTGCTTTCTATGTTCTGCTTTCAGCCCATTCACCTCAGTGTCGAATGGGTCAGATCTGTGACAGGATGGTAGGTTTAAGATCAACCAGGGGAGCTTTTATTATAGCATAATATAATGATTCTTTTGCACCAGTTTGTCTTTTCTTTATCAGACCAATTTGTCAAAAAATGTAAAGGGGGAAAAAAAAAAATCACAATTCAGGCGCCATGTGACATTTCAAAATGAAATGGAATAAAATAAAGTGATGGCTCTCAGGAACTTAAACATTTGACCTTGTAGTTTTCATCACATCTCCCACCTTACTTCGTTTTGAAATAAAGTCTCTTTACCTAATGTCTGAAAGTGTAAATATGGTTGCTATGCATTGGTGTTAAATAGATGACTGTAACAAGTTCAGCTGAATCAGCACTCATTACAGATGTCTGTCGGTCACCTACCAGCAGGTTTGGAACTGACGGGGGAGTTGGGATGGCGGGCCGTGTTGGTCATGCGTGTTCGTTTCCTCCTGAAGAAGCTGCGCAGGATGCCACATTTCAGAGACTCCAGCAGCATGCTCTTCCCTGATCCCGAGTGTCCGAACAGCTTCAGCTTGATCCTGGACTGGACCATCTGAGTGGGCCGCAGCTGCTGGATGTAGCTCAGTTTGTGGTTGTCCTGCCCCCAAAAAAACACCCACACAAAGTTTTTAGATAATCATTCCTCACATTGATAAAGACATTTATCTACTGTTTGAAATCATTTAAAAGTGCCCCAAAACCAGCCCACACATTTGAATCAATCACATCTTCTTCTAGAAAGTGTGTTTCCAAACACACCGTTCAAAGTAACGTCTCTTTTTTTCAGTTTGAGTCCATGACGTGACTAACAGCTCAAACACAAACAGCTGTATGAGCTTTACAGACTCTAAGCTAATGTTGGAAATGTTCACACTCTTCTCTGAGCACTTAAGCAGGCTAACATTTGTCATTCTTTTTATTGATTCACGAAGAGAAAACAATAAGAGCTCAGTACACTTTGACAAAGTATTTGCACAGTTGGTCCAGGAATCCCACTCAGCATTTTTCAGCATAGTGGTGTTGTACATTAACAAAACAATCCTTAAACCCATTCAGTTTTATTTATGCCAAGTTGCACGTCATATTTAGAAGATTCAGAGGTCTCTCTCTTTTTTTAATTTTTTAAGTCCTTCATCCAGTACATTCTCTCCACTTTTCTAAGATTTCCACAGTTGAACAGAAGGTGATATATCCACAACCCACTTTGTCATTATAGCCTTCCTAGGCAACATTAGAAGCAATTGAATTATTTCCATTTGTCCCTTCAAAGGCTATTAAAGGTAAAGGTATTACAGTGGGCCAGGAGGCAGTTGTTGCCTGTTCTCCTATCCCCGTGCCTATTTCTCCACATACTGCTTTCCAAAATAATAACTTTTTTTGTTTTGCTCCTAAAGATTTGTATTGCATTTGGGACAAATGTGGGAAGCTCCTGTTGTGAACTTACTATAAAAATACAGAGATATGTAAACATTATACAACATATTGCATAGCATCTCTTTAATCTATGACATATTAATGTTCAGGTTTTGTATGATCCAAAAGGAATCTTTCCAGTATGACTGAACCGCTCACTAAAGGGAGGGTATTCACCTTCTTAAATACTTAGAGCCTGACCTGGAAATATTAGTCTTTGGTAGGTAGATCGTGCTAATTGATTCCATTTTAAATCTCCCATTACTGCAAAGATCATCTACCTTTTTTAAACCTGCTACTTGCCAGGATTTGGATTTGGGCCCTGCCCCCTCAACTGGATGTCCACCAATGTTGTGCATTCAAAGGCTTTTCCTTAATCATTGCCTTTGAGCGTCTCCTCGTCTTTATTAGTTAACAGGTTGTCCTCTTAATATAATCTGTAGTTCATACACAAATTCATTTACAGGAGAAAAGGTTGACACATTACATCATCTGTTTCAAGCCAATGCAATCCAGTTTTGTGAACTACCCATAAATAGTTATTTCTCGCAGGTATTGCAAACCACTCCCACCTTTTTCTTTAGGGAGCTGTACATTTTCTAATTGTATTTTGGGGTTTATAAATATATTAATAAAAATAATATCTATTCTATCATTTGTCCTTAAAAGATATAGAATCACTTATCTGAGGAAGAATAATTATCATCTTAATAAGATTCATCCTACCAAGAATGGCTTCCTTTACCAGATTCCTCCACCTCTTTCTTTGAAATGTTTTATCGAGTTGTTGATGTTTTCAGTACACACTTAATTATGTTTTGGTGTGACTCTTATTTCAAGATAACTGAACACATCAGGGGCCCAAGCAGATGGTTTAACAAAATCAGGTTCAACATGCTTATTGCACATCAAGGGCATTTTTCCAAATTAACTTTAAACACATTGTATCAGTCCAAAATGTTTAACACATCCCATGAGCGCTTGCACTGAATTACTCAATCTGTTAAGGTAAACAGGACGTGCTGTTTTGTACCCATTATAGCATTTAATATTATTATTTTGTAGAATAGCTATTGTTAAGGTTCTATAGTGAGGGGCCAGGGCAAACAGGAGATGTGATTTTATCAGTCATTTCTCCATTAAAAATGTGATGTGACATTTTCAGCATTTTGCTTTAAACACAAAACAAAGTTTAACTCATTGTAGGACATCATTAGATGGGAATAAGGACAAAGTCAACAATATTTACAGTAAATGTTACTTATTATGTTGTTATATGGCTGAAGAGGGTGTCCATAATATGCTGTATGTCAGCATCACCTCACACAGCCAAATGTGTCTGAATGTATCCGCCCACTAATCAAGCAAAGTTTGTCTGTGTCAAAGTAAAAGGGCAGTCGGTAGATTCAGAAGCATAAACATTGAAAGTCATTTCCAAAGAGTGCTGGCTCCTCTTCACCTGCTCTTACTTTGCCAATTCAATGACATTTACTAACATATGACAGTTTGTGAGCCATCAGCAGATGAGTCACATATCAGAAGTGGATATGTTATGTTAACACATTCAATATTAAAAACATCTCATTTGAAATATCTGTGATTCATGCCTGAGCAGAACGCAACTTCAATTTTGACATCATATTGAAGTCTTTTAAAGTGTGTGTGTGTTTTTTCCCCTCTGGCTTCTTTGGAAGTCAGTGCACTTCCTAAACTGGCACCAATGTGTTAAAATGTCTTAATTTAGCCGAACATATGCAGAGAATGACTGTTTTCACAGTTGATGCTGTCATGTTTTCACGCTCTGAACTCAATCTCAGCAGGTTCTCTGAAAAACTGGATTAGGAGAAACGTCAGTGACATTTAGCTTTTGGTGTGTTCTGGTAGATGTGACTCGAGGCAGATTGGTGACACTGGGCTGAACTCCACACACACCTCCAAAGCTAAGAAGCTAAAGGCTTATAAACGCAGCAATCTTAAATTGGCTCCAGTTTAAACAGAGGCTGATTTGACTCAGGTTTAGTTCTCACTCCTTATCTGAGTTACTGAACTGATCAAAAAGCATTACTGTCACACAGATGTGTCTAGAAAATAAGTACGGGTATAGCCTCCAATTCTTAAAGTCCTAAAATCTGATATGTGGTATCAGCAAGTATGTCAGTAAATGAACTGATTCGATACTTTAACCAAGCAGCCAAAAAAACAACCAATAACAGATAAACTATCGTCATTTTAACAAATAACAAGATTTCAGGGAACAGAGAGGGTGTTAAGTTAGTCACTGCTAGGAACATCAGCAATCAGTGTATTACTACCATCATAATGTATATTCTTTCAATTGAACTAGAATCTGAGGCGTTCTTTGTATTAGCAAACACTCATGTCCAGGTATTTAAAATTGTATTTAAAAATTGTATTTAAATTGTATCAGAACAGAAACAACTTTATGCCACAGCTAGCTGTTCTTGCAGGTAAATAATTTAGATGCTGAGGTCCTTGGAAATTAGCTGCAAAGGCTGAAGCTGCTCCTTTTACTGTACAGTTAATTAAAGGGGACTGTCCTCGAAACAATAAACAAAAAGCAAATTAAACTTAACAGGGAAAATTATTGTCCCTGTCAGATGAAATCCTAAGGTCATCCTAAAGTCTTGGAAAACAACAGCAAAGATGGCTCATGGTTGTGAAATTAATGTTTAATTAATGGAGAACAGGTCTCGAGAACATTCCTGAAATCAGCATCTGAAATGGACTCTTCCTCAAACACTGGACATGTGTGGTCTACACGTAATAATCCGTCTGATTTAAACAAAACTCATACAAACTGTTGTATTTTGTGTATTTAACTCGTGTGGAGACAAAGCAAAAAACAACATTATTGTGTGTATATAGTATACTCCATGTCACTTTATATAAAAATAAAACTTTTTTTTTTTTTTTTTTTACAAAAACTGCTTCTTATTAAGCAACTTTCTAACTTATTGTTCCTTTACATGTTCAGGAAAGTGTTGCCACACAGTCTAAAAATGGTGCTGTGATAAAATGTAACACCTTCATGGTGAACACATCTCTCCACACCTCTGCATGGAAATAGACCAAGTGTGAAGAGAGTTTTTGAAGGCTGCATCAACCAAAGTTTTATTGTCTACACTAAAAAGTTCTTATGAAGAGTCTTAAAAAGTTCTTATTAATTTCTTATTAAAAGGCTGATGTGTGTGTATGTGTTTGCTTTTACCTTTTTAAGCTTGCCCAACAGAGAAACTATGGGTTCATGTTGATCCTTATACGCCAAATCCTCTGCAGTCTTTCCATCCTGAGGGGGGAAAAAAAAAAAAGAGTAAACGAGATAAAAGAAAGGGATGAATAAATGTTTAAGAAATCAAAGATAATCCCTAACATTCCCTTTGGCTGTTGCTGAGATATGCCTCAGTGCTTCTAAATCAATCTATGTTGACTCTTCTTATAAGGAGCATAACATGTCAGATTTCTGGTCATTTTAGATCAAAGAAATATATGCAGGGCTGATGAAGCTGCTGCTGCTGCTGCACATCAGCTAGCGTACATCTTCCACACAGCTGACAGTAATAAAATATTCAGCTGCAGCTTGTGTGTTTTTTGTCCTGAACTAGACACATAGTTTAGCTTGGTTCAAGAAAAAACTGGTTATTTAAAAAAAAAAAAACACAAACAAGATATATTCATGTATTTTTTCTTTGATAACAAAATACAATAAATCATGCTTCCTTACAATCAGGTGTGAGAGTACCTAGACATCATTATTACTCAATTAAGATAGGGACATGGATTTGAACACTTTAAACCCACAAAAAATTCAACTCAAGTGCTACAAGTTCAGCCAGCGTTGGTCTTATGCAAGGGGCTGCTGTGGTTTCGTCAAAAGAAATGAAGAGCCTGCAAAACAGTGTGGTCGAACCACAGACGCTGACTCAAATGACATAACCTGAGGCAATTCAATGGCTCTTTCTAGAGTCATAAACAGCTCTATACAACTTCTCTTTCTTCTTCTCATATGCAGAGGCACTCTTCAACACCTCTCCCAGCTGATACCTGTAGACTGACATCATGCACATGCATTTTTATTTTTTTCACATGTCAAGTCAAGCGTTTGATTCTCTGTCCATTCTCCCCTGAACACACTGGCAGACAAACACCACACGGCCAACAAGTTTCACATCCCTTTCACTGACGCAGCCATCTGTCATAATCCGGCTCTGACTTCTGCTTCACAGGAAGAAAAAATTGCACCGACAGCCTAAAACCCCCACAGAGCGCTTCCCACTTCACACACTTAAACGTCAAAAGACATTCAACACAGGTTTTCTTATGGAACGATCAGTTTACCTTTAATTATTCAAACGAGACTAAATACTTATGAACCCTACATTATCGCATAATTGTCTATCGTTCTATTTCATTCACAAGAGTGCCTCTGATAAGGTCACACACCGTGATAAGAGCACAGAGGACACTGACCTTTAAGATGTTTTCCTCAGCTAAATGTCAGAGATGTAAATGAAGTGCAGCAAATTTGACCACTTAGTTGGATTTACTTGTGGGTAAATTCATGAGCCCTGCTTGTACAGATGGCACGGTGCTGCAACTTTCACCATCGCTGCTTGGTAACGGTCAGATTTTGTGACCAGCTGGTGTTGTTTGCCTCAAGTTGGAGAGAAGGCAATTTGATCAGCTGTAGTATCTTCGATTTTGATTGAATATAAATGGATAGGGACTGTGTTGATTATTAAAAATTTAAGAAACATGCCAAACTAACAAAAGACTGAAAACCACATTGCTCTGCCCTCTCTAATGACATGTTTAAACCAATAATAGAGTCCCCCTCCCCCAGCCACATCCCCAGCTGCTCCCAATAAACTGCTGACCGCTGGCCACCAGACAATGAATTATACATCTCAGTATGTGCTCTCAAGATTAAACATGCATTGCACATCAGCTGTCATACAATATTCACAGCTTGAGAATTCAGAGAGAGAAAAAAGAACCCTCAGTGTAGGACATCTGGATGCTTAGCATCCAAAACATCATGAAATGCCAAAAAAACAGCTTCTACAATCGGAATGAAAATAAAATACTAACCAGTTCAAAGGGAAAAATGATCCTAACAACAAAGATTTAGATTGATTTATACAGAAATTTACAAAAAGACAACACCGGCCTTTGGGTTTAAAGACTCTTTGTATTACAGGAAATTAAAAGCCAGATGGGTCAAAGAGACTCATGATTGCATACAACTTAAGAGTGATGGAACCATTTCAGTCTACTAAACATCTGCAGAGAGATCAGAAAGACAAGTGAAGACTTACACATGGAGGCTAATTATAAATAAATAGAAGACAAACTTACAAAACGGAAACCAAGTCCACAAATATAGATTATTTTTCTGATAGAATCCCGAAATATTCATAATTGCCTAAGCTGATCAACTTTTGTTGTTGTTGTTGTTGTTGTTGTACTTGTAGACATTACAAGCCATCTTTGAATACTGGACATTTGGATTGCATTTCTTAGACATCCGTAGTGCCTGATTTGTGAGTTTTATTCGTTGTTGTTGATGTTTGTTAGTATTTTTACGTGAAGTTTTTATGTGCTTAAATGTTAAGATTTTCAGTGTTAGATTAATACATTAGCAATCTACCATCTTTTAGTACCAGCTCCCACAGTATATTAGAAATCTAAAAACCTCATTGCAGCGCTGCAACGGACATTACTTACATTTTACAATAATTTGCTGAGTTTTTACCTCTACCTAGGGGGTTATGAATTTGTTTGTTTGCAGCCAGGATAAGGCAAATTACTGGCATAACATTTATGCATCTCAGTGGAAGTGTGAAGGATGAGCAAAAGAAAATCCAATTTAATTTTGGAGTGAATACTCATCTAAACAGTCTAAAACCCAAAATATATTCTGTTTGTTTAATATTAGACAAAAACAAATTAAAATCCTGACCGTAGGAAAAAAATGAAACCATGAAAATGTAAACTTTTTCTCTTGAAATTACTTAATCAAAAAACTATTCATGTATTTTCAAAACTTAAAAACTACTTAAAAAGAAAATTAAAGATACCGAGAGGGTTCAAGAGGGTAAATGAACTTCAACAATAGAAGAGAGGGAACATTAAGATTTGAAAGTTTGAAATCCAAAGAGGTGAGGTTAGAGGATTGTAGAATTGAAGGCGTGCAGCTTAGTACCAGGAGGGAAGTACTATTTATACATTTCAGCAGATTAATTCCAGTTTGAGTTAAAAAGCTGCAATCAGCTTTTCTACTTTTATTGAGTGTGTATGGAGGCAGTGAGCAGTAACATGCTCTGCAGCTCAAGCAGAATAGAACAACTCATCAGCGTGTATTTAAACAAATAGTGACAAAAAATGTTCTCAGTTTGTATACTTTGAGCTTTGTCATGCATTAGGTTAAACCATGGCCACTTCCCCAAAAGATACTAACATCTGTCCTGGGGCTTAATCCTCTCTACATACTAATGCATTTAGCTCTGAAAGCAGGAGTATGCAAATATAAACCAGCTTGTAAAGTTTCATTAGTGAAAATGCCAAGACTTTGCACTGGATTTTTCTAAAATAGCAATAAGAATGGCTTGTACTTTATAAATACCTGCAGAGCTGACACTGATCCTTCCTATAATGCACTATAACATATGTCATGTATCTGCTTTTTAAATGAAGGAAGTAAAAGTAGAAAGCTGAATGATGACTTACGTTGGTGACAGCATCAATATTGGCTCCTGTCAGGCAGAGATGACGGACAACCTCAAGGCTCCCGTTGTTTGCAGCCAGGTGGAGAGGAGTTCTGCCATACTGAAAGGAGAGAGAAAATATAAAAGACATGTTCTCAGGTAATACCATGTACAAATATCAGAACCTGTGATGTTTTTTGACAAAGTGAACCCTAAAAATATGTACTTTACTCTGCAGAACATGTTGAATAGTTTTATATTATCGGGTCTATCTTAAAAAAAACTGCCAAATGGATGCATTGACCCGAACTGTACCATCAGTATGCTAATGGCTTTGAGGGTCACATGGCATAAAATCTTATTCTTATTCATTGAATGAAAGGGCTATTTCATTCAATGAAAGTCTGATATCTTGGCTCTGCAAAGTATCCTCAAGAGCCCCGCCATGAGGATCAGGGCAAAAATGAATCATATGGGCTTATCTCTGAACATGGACTTGCTATAAAACCTGTCTATAAAACCAGTAGTTGTTAAAATTGTTGTTAAAATTGTTCTGTCTATAAAACCAGTAGTTGTTAAAATCAACAGATGTGTTTACGTGTTTGTTTGTTTGAAAAGAATGTATGCGTCTTAAAGTTCATTACAGATAAACTGATACAGAATTGAATGGTGTTGGAAATAATTGTATAAAATACATAAATACAAACATTAATAGAGTATAAAAGTAAAGAGATCTTGTTGTTTAACTTTTTTCAAAGGCTGTTAAATACTTCAATTCTGATTGGCCAATAACGCATAACAATGGTCAGCTATCCTTCTATAGAACACAGCTGCAACAAAGAGCAGATGGCTGCTAGGGAAGAGGATCTAATCATAAACTAACTGCAAGACTAACTGTTAGCATTTCAAATTTGTTGAAAGAGAACGGTTCATTTGACGATGGTCTGTTTACTGGGGGAAAAGGAGTCAAAAACAGCAGTGAAAGGAGGTGAAAAAATGAAAAAACTGCAGGTTATGACAGAGAAAACACCTGACGATTCAATTCAATTCAATTTAATTCAATTTTTCTTGTATAGCGTCAACTCATAACAAGTGTTATTTCAAGACACTTTACAAAAAGCAGGTAAAATACCTTACTCTTTGTCTGTTAACATTACAAAAGAGCAGGTAAAAAGACCTTACTCATTGTTATGTTACAAAAAGCAGGTAAAAGACCTTACTTATGGCGATGGCTCTCAATACATAACACGCACATATGTTAGATGGCACATAACACAGAATGGAGCGTAACTTGCTATGCGATACAGTGGAGTTGAAAGACTGCAGGATAGAAAAGAAAATGTCAACAGACTCTTGACCATGACAAGGTGCTGCTCTGATTCATGTGGATCTGGTCACCTCTTGTCTAACTTTAATAATGTGAATAATGAAAGCTAGTTAGGCAGCTCTTTCTATAAATTCCAATGGACTAAGTAGAAGAAATAAATAATTTGAAATCCTTAAAATAATTTCCAAATCAATATTTTGATTCAAATGTTGTAATTCCTGGATAAGTAGCTATGTAATAAGCAGGATAATGTAAAGAAAGAAGGAGGTTATAGCAGAGGAACCAGGACAGGGTGAGGGATCTTGGTCTCATCCTGTTGGGGTTCCACTTCACAACCTGCTCACTATATATTATTAAAGATGAAATGTGACAAATGAAACATTTTAGGATTCTGAAACCAACCAACAGAGATTCCTCTGCCAGATGATAAAAGAGAAACTGTAGAAATGATCAACAGCCACTGGAAATAAAGGTGTATGAAAGCAGAATTTCAATCAATTATTTTTTTGTCACAGCTTGAAAAAACTAGTAAGCAATCATCCGTTTCCTTTTCTGCTCTAAACAACACAACAGGAGACATTTCCAATTCCATGCTTGTCATTTTCTCCCCCAGTGTCTACAGCGGACAGTGAAGACAAACCCTGGCACAGACTCAGCAATGTGCAATATAACTTTATAGATTTACCTTTAAAAACACACACAGAGAAACAGAGAACAATGAATACATCACAACAGCTCAGGCAGTGCTGACTCCTCCTGATGCACATCACTTCCCTGAACTATTCTTGGAAAAAACATGCTTCTGTATGTGAAGAAGCTGAGAGGAGCTACCAGCAGTTTCTCATTGCAGAATACATTAAAAAGGAAGGCATCAGTATAGAAATCACTGAAGGGAGGAATATGTGGGAAGACGTGCCCGGCACAGAGGCAAAGAAAGATATCTTTAGTGAAATATATGCTAGGTAAGCAAGAGCTCCTTTAAAGGGCTATTTCATTCAAAAGAAACAGCTGTTTTTTTTGTTTTTTTAAGAAAACACTTTCAACATGTATAATAAAGTTGCTCTACTGGCTTTGATTAAACAACTTAAAACTCATCTCTGTTCATCAAAATCGCTAATCTTTAAGTTTTTATATCTGAAAAAAAAAGTAAGCCTTAATTCCTCTATAAAATGGCTCAGGAGTAACACTACACCTCTGCCTTCCATGCATACGTATGTTTATAGTCTATATAGACCCATCTTAAGCATCTCTCCTGCTGCATACAAGAATGACTCTAAAATGTAAAAAGAAAAAAATATATATATATATACTGTATATACTTGCCTTGGGCTTCACTTTCACTATGATGCCACTAAATATTAACAATATATAGGCAACTTTCAAAGTGCAGATTCATAGCTATTAGAATCTTTTAAAAACTCATATTACTGATATTATTGTAGTATATGAAAAACAACACATATACCAGTTAGAGTTACTTTTCCTAGAATAGGTTTTTACTAATTATACATAGTTACGACACTGATCTACAGCACATATTTTCACCAGCATTATAATGAATGGCAGACTTTTGAGTCCTATTGAGATTAGATTAGATCACACAGCAAAGATCCACAGGAAGCATGTATTTACACTTGCTCAAATCCCTTAATCCTTATAATATGTTTGCTTTCTGTGTGTATTCATCCCTCGGTTTGGCCTGTAATTATTCCTACTTTAGCCTGGATAGAACTGCTGCACTAAAGGGTCAATAGATTGTGGATATCTGAAAACACTGCAGTTATATTTGACAGTTGACACAACACTTAATTCCTAAAACATAATTTGAACATCACTATTTTAAACGAGCTAAGCTATTTACAAGATTTTAGAAGCCTGCTGCAGGAATTTTAACATCAACGTAACATTTGAAATTTTTCTTTGACTGGACTGAAGTGGCTCAAAATGAACTATAGAAACCAGTGAGGTATGAACAGGGTTGCTTGTATACTCTTGGTTCTGTGATGTTGTATATTCTTGCCGCTTACAGCCCCTTTAGAAAAATTCAGCATTTGTTAAACGTTGACTCATCAATGTGTCAAAATGCATCACTTAATACTGCTAGTGTTTGTGGCACTGAAAACAAAAGCTAAAAGTTCAAGCAGAAACATTTTATTTTTAAGGTTACATTATATACTGTTAACTGAGCCTGAAAAGAATCCAGACCTTGGGGGCCATATTTTTCTAAGAACATAAGAACTGTGTTTACAGGTATCCTTACCTTGTTGGGCAGATCAAGGCTAGCTTTGGCACTACAGATCGCAGTGACGACTGGCAGATTTCCGTCCTTACAGGCTATGTGCAGTGGTGTGTTGCCATGACGATCCTGCTGATCCAGGTGGCAGTGGTGTCTGATGAGGCAGCGAACAACTTCAACCTGACACCTTCGTACGGCCAGGTGGAGGGCTGTGTGGCCGTCCTGTTCACACACAGGATGTAATGTTATTTAAACACAATCTAAACAATGAAAAAAGAAATATTGCTTTGTTTCTAAGTTATGGGTTAAGTTAAGGGCTGTTTCAAGTTCACTCTCTGTGAGTAATTGTTCATCGAAAGTACATAATACAAATTAAAATAAATCTGTTAACCTTGTCAGTTGCCTCTAGATCAGACTTGTGCTCCACCAGACACTCAACGATGTCCACAAAGCCTCGAGCAGATGCCGTCAGCAGTGGACTTTCCCCCTCGCGATTCTTTGCGTCCACATGGCAGCCCGCCTGGCACAGTGCTCGGGCCACTGCTGAGTATCCGTGCCATGCAGCGCAATGCAGTGGTGTCTCCTGCTCCTGAAGATAAAAGTGTAGAAGGAAGAGGTTGAAGAAAGGTTCCCCAATAAATCACAAAATCATGTAGATGTGTAAATGTTGAAGCACTAACCCTGTCAGCGAGGTCAGGGTTGGCCCGGATGCTGCATAAGTAGCGTATCACATCCACGTTGCCATAGCGAGCCGCCACATGAAGAGCTGTTTCTCCGGACTGGAGGACAGAAAGGTTTTTACTTGTCATTGCTTAAAAATGCATCACTAAAAAGTCTGGTACTGAAAAATAAACTGTATTCTAGACCTACGGTAATCAATGATCCATTTGTTTTAACAGGCTTCCATCATTGCCAGGATACTTTTTAAACTATCAGCATAATCAAACTACTGCATTGAATTTAATAATGATATTGATAAATAAAGAAAACATATTCTAATCTGAAAACATATTCTAATCTATTTTTTATATGTCAGCCTTTACTTGATGTAAATTAACAGGATGTCTTGAATTTCTACAATCATAACCTTCATGTGGAAAATATTTCAAAGCTGTGACATCTCTGGTGAGGCAAGTGAAATGCCCTTTCCTGTTAGTCATACCATATCCTCTGAGTCAGAAACTTCCATTTAAACAAATGCATTCAGATTTTACTGCCCTGTGTGTGCAGACTTCCGACTCTTTAGAAATCGATCCATCAGCATTAACTTTATGGCTGCCAGTCAGAGCAGAAGCTTGTTAGAGTAGAAGCTTCTTACGTGAAATGGCACCCTAGACGCGGATAGCAACTAATGGATTAGTGCTAGAAAGAAAGCTTAGACAGCTCTATTTGATTAAAGAAATTACATAAAAACACAAACAAAAAAAAACGATTAATCTTGTTAAAAAAGGTGTTAAAAGCTATTATAGTTGACTTCTGGGTTGTAGTGTAATAAAGAGAGATTAAACTTTAATGATGCTTGGACATGAACATGGAGTCAGGAGTACAGATTAGCTCTGGTCTGTAGGAGGAGGACTCTGCTCTTTTGTGTCATGGTTTGCAGACAGAACACACATACACACACCATAATTTTTAGCAATCCCTGTTTCCATAGCAACAACAAATAAGCTGATAAGGTGCCAGAGTAACTGGTTTTCTCCACAGGTGTGTGCAGCACTGGTTGTAAACGTGTGTACACGTGTGTCTGGGTGTTTTGCAGAATCAAAGTGAAGCATCCCAGGAGGTTTGATGGGTAGGAGTGTGTGAGTAAATGCTGAGAGATAACTGATTGTGGTGAGTAGTAGTAAGTGTGTATGGCTCTGTACATGTGTGTGTGTGTGTACAATGTGTAAGTCGCAGAGGGAGGAAAAGAAGAGGCACTTGATTTACCTTATCTTGGACATCTAGAGGACATTTCTTTTCATGGAGGAATTTCAGGGTCTCTACATGGCCGTGTCTTGCTGCGTAGTAGATAGCGTTGGCTCCACTCTGCAGAGAGAAGAAATTCCCAGGATTTATCCCTGACCTTTACAATAAAAAAAAATCACACTCACTTTGAGTGTGTATGCTGCCAGATGATATAAACATATCCTTCATGACTACTGCACAGCACATGATAAAGAACTTGGAACTTATTCCAGGTTGTGCTACCATTGTGCCTATTGTCAATCAAGTAGCCATCAAGTATATGTGTATCTAAAAAGGCTTTTCAGAAAATTCAAAACAATTTAAGTTGAAAATATGTTATTCTCTACAGTTATGTTTGCAGTACTTCTTAGTGAAATTAGCTCAAGGCTTCATTACCTTACAGCACAAATAGCCTCCGTCATAATCTAAATGACAGTCTGTTACATTCCTCTGCCCTCATTACTGCAGCTCTGAAGACTTTACTGCCTGTCTGTAAAAGATCACAGCTGCCTGTCAGAACAACAGTGATTACACAACACTGATCAGTCTTTACCTTGTCATGGGCCTGGATCTCTGCACCTTTCCTCATCAGCACCTCAATGATCTGAACGTTGCCACAGCCGGCTGCAATCAGGAGGGGAGGAGTCCCATGCTGCAATAACATACATTGTAATTTTCAACTATTATGTTACTTAAATGTGTGTCACAACGGCTGTTGTCAACATCAGCCTTAGACCACATACAGTAATAACACATACAACATCCAGTGATGAAGGCTTAACCTCCCACAGGTTATTATAAGAGTTCAGGCATGCTGGGAAATGTTTACACATAATACACATGTATCTTATGAGAGAGTCTACAACGTGTTGCAAAATAGAGTTAAAAAAGAGAAGGACAGGGGAAAGAAGAAAATTACATAGTGAAATTTTTTAGGCCACTTCCTGAAATACCTTCCCTAAATCCTGCCCCTCTTGACTCCATAAATATTCAGTCATGTACCTGTGATGAATCTTTTTCTGGCAGTTTAACATTGTTCAAACACAGCTATTCTCCTCCTCTCCAAATGGCTACATTCTCTTTCTCTTCTCTTCATTCTTATCCATCTCTTTTCCTCCACACTTGACTGGGTTTAATAACATCACATCCTCCCATCACACATCAACTGTCAACAATCAGCATCTTTTCTCATCTTAACAGCGAGCAGAGTGAAGATGAGGGATGTGTTTAAGTCTGGTATGTACTGTGCCATCAGGTGAAGGAATAAGGAATCTGTTCTCTGCACTCCAACAATGTTACTCATTTCATATCTGTGATAGCTTTGCTTTTCTCTCCATGTACAAAGTACAAAAATATACCTCAAATAAGTGGAAGTGCAACATATTAACTTCTTTCAATGTATCCTTAAAACATTAGTCCTTAAGAAGTCTTAACTCTACTGTTTTTGTAGCCTTTTCCAGCCGTCTCTACCTACTGACCAAAGTAATGAGACCCTCGATAAATCAGCTGCGTTTGTGATGAGACTTCATTAGTTTGTGGTAAAACTGAAACTGCATTTTACAGTCCTTTAAATAATAAGAAAGTCATCTAAAATATTTTATATTTCATCATTTTATGTTTTGAGGTTTCTTGGAAGCAGGGGTTTGAGCTACTTAGTAAATAAAATAGCAAAGTAATAGTCAAATAAAATGTACACATTTTACACATTTCAAATAATACAACATTGTAAATATAATGTATAACAGACTGTACAATGTATGTACGGTACAGGTTCATCTTTGAACAGATGCCCCGTCCTTTTGAAAAGGTCAAAGGTCGAAACACAGAGACTTTAGCATAAATCATCCAAATTCACCAACTTATTTCGGTCATGTTTTAGCGTTTTTCGTCTTTAGCATAGAGAAAAGTGAAGAGTTTCTAAAGCTTCTTCTAAACAAGAAGCAGCATAGACTAATTTAACTAGAGTAATAACTGTTACATTGTATATGATTTAATTTTGTTTAAGAAATAATACTTATATAAAATAAGAGATTTCTATACAAGACGTCTTGTGTATCCTAAAACAGAGTTTTAAGCCACAAGGCTCTAATAGAAACATCAGCATGTTTGTTAGACTTGGGAAAAATAAAAACTGGTGAAATTTAGATTCATACAGGATTTTCTCACATATTTGTGCCACTCTTTGCCTTTCATTATTTGATGCTTAAACGATTTTTTGGTACACCATGTGGTTTTAGTCACCTTGTTTGGCTGGTTGACGTCGTAGCTGTTCAAGGAGCCGAGCAGATGCTGCAGGCCGGGCACGTTGTCGTCATTTATGGCATGGATGATGGCCTTCATCACAAAGGAGTCTTCCTCATCCTGGATGGGTGGGAAAGACAGTCACTGTTGTACTGTTCACAACATGATCTAATCCTGTGAACATTCATCAGTGAATTATTTCTATCACATGCCTCCTCTAAGTCTCTCTTTCATCCTTTCCCTCATGCATGAACACACAGAGAAACAAACAGACTTTTCTTTAGCAAGTTCAGGTTCAGTTTTTTTTTTTGGGGGGGGGGCTGTGACATGTGACCTTATGACCTTCAGTCAGAGTTAGACACACAGGCTGAGAAATCAGCTGTGACGCTCCACTGCACAAAGAGATGAGGAGGAGGAAGGCAGGGAGGTGAGGACGGGAGAGGGGGGGAGGCTGATGTGGCGTTTGTTCTGCCAAGCGTTACACTGCAGCTACATTCCTCAATATAACCTCCCTGCTGGGCGAGCCATGACTAAAGCACCTCAGAGAGCAGCAAACACAACACACATATGAACAAGCAGCTCGACGCCTGCTGGGGATTTATGTCAACATAATTTTCAGGGATTCTAACCTTCAGGAAATTGTTATTCATAGCACAGGATGGAAAGCTTTTACCTATCTACATTATTCCTCCTTTTTTTTCTATTTTCTCTGCAGACTACGACTCTGGTAACAGTCTGCTGGATAGTAAACACTCCCCCACATCTTCAATTAAAGAAATAAAATCAACAAATTGTGACGACTGTTTATCACTCTATTTGAAGGCCTTATGTCGCAGTTTTGATCTTCTCTACAGACTATAACAAGTTCTGTATCAGAACATAAAGACGGTGTTGTATCGTTGACTTTAATTTAAATGCTAATTACCTTTGTTATCTAACTCGTCACCATAAAAGATTATTTTGTAATGGCACCTTTACTAACATTCATACATTTCCCTGCAAGTTTCTGAATGCTTGAATGTTATTTTGACAGTCGAGGAAGCAAAAATACCAATTTAATTGCTCCAGCTTCTTTAATGTGAAACTTTTCAGCTGTTTTTTCTGCATTATGTTCTGTTAAAAGTATAAATGTATATTGACTGTACTCTTACAACTCAAGTTATATAAGGCTCATGAGTCTTGTGATGAGCATATTTCAATGGAATTGGCAGCCTTCATTTTGAAAGGTGTTTCTTTAAAATGTAACTTCGGTCAACAGTAAATACAACTTTTAAGATCTGATGGGCATTAACTTTCTGGGCAGAATTTCATCAGCATCAAATAAAAAACAAAACAAGGTAGAGATAAGACATCCGTTTCACATCCTCAATTGACTGCATCTCTGTTGCAACAGCTGGGATATGACAGCATGCAGGGCCATAAAAACTGGCATAAAACTTATCTGGATCATTTACTTATTATATGTAAATCATCCAGATGACTCATGTTTTTATATTGCAGGGTATTGAGATAAATCAGATAAAGAAACCATTCATTGTGATAAAAACTGATCCTTGGAATCGACAGCTCTTCCTTCTTTTCAACTCTACTTCTTAATATATTCAACATTATGATAACTATATATCAATGATGAACATATAATTAAGTTAGAGTTTCTCATCTTATACTTTCTCTGCTCTGCTTTTCTCCTCTGAGTCTTTAAGTAAAGCATGTGAGCTGCTCAGACAATAAATACGATCACCTTTTAGAAAAGTTGGACTGGCAGACACAAGCTGCAGTTCACTTCATGGACTTCGGGAACACAACAACGTCTTTATTTCTACCTGTGACCTCACCTATGATGGGGTGTGGGTGTAAACTGTGTAAACAGTTGTGGCCTTGGCCTGCAGGTAACACCTGGTAAAATTAAACATCTGTCTGAAGCTGCAGTGTTTACATCAAGCAGGCTTGTCTGAATCGTCTTGTATGAACCCAGGAATTTTGAAAGCTTTCTTTTCAATCAACATTTTGTGTATTGACTCATAACACAGTAAATTAGCTTTCTTCTCAGGAGGCTCATTCCTACAAAACCTCTGCCTGGTTTTAGAAATTCCAACAATCCCACAAACACCTGACCTGTGGCACTCAGGGGAAATGAGGAACAGATCAATTACATGCAGGAGCTCCAGATTCTCAGAGAGATTGTCGAGTTAGAAAATACCAGAGTTGTAACTGAGAGCTTGGGGTCCTAATAAATGAACACACTTCAATAAAAGCAATCAGAAACTCATTACTCTAAAAGTCATATTAAAGATAGACTGCAGGGATTAAGGTAATAGTTCTCTTGTTGCTAATGCTTTACTCAAGTGTAATTAAAGCCTTGATGTGCTAACAGCTACAAACCTAATTAACTTGAAAGACTATGGACCAAGATCTTGACTGTCGTTTGTTATAACATATTTCTTCCTGGTCTGTCTGGTCAGAGACGGATCTTTAGGTCTTACCAGCGTGTCATCACTGCGTGCCACACTTATGTTGCTTCTGGACAGGAAGGAGCGGGACAGGCGGTTGCATAAGGAGATAAGTCGGACGGATTGCTGGAAAAAAAAGGAGAAAAAAAAGATGATGAATTAGAAGAAAAAGAACAAGTTCATGCCAAACCATTGCTTGTCCTTTTGACAAACAGATGCAAAACAGCAGACACACAAAAAAAAAAAATTCAACAGACTGCCATAAAATGCTTGATGTTGATGCTGGGTAAGAATGCAGAATCAGAGTCAGTGGTTCGTGCACCTCCATTACAGAGATTGAATTTGAAGAAGACCTTACATGCCATGACTCTGATTCAAAGCTAAATTGTGTTTTCAAGGTGAGAGGGATCTTCTACTCATTCAACTCCATGTTGGCCTTAGTACAGGAGTATATAAAATGCTACAAGCAAAATAAACACATATTTAAGATACTAATTCATATTTTCTAGTTTTTCTGGCATGCTTCAGATAAACTTCTCAATATTGTTAATAAGTCGTGTTTAAGATTGTAACATGCTGTCGACCGTAAAGTTGGATTTGGTCTAACTTTGTATGGATTTTGTTGTTGGATCTCCCCTGTCTAACACTGAACAGTTACAACCATGAAATAAATTATTTAGTTTTTATCAGTGTGTTTAAAAACATCACTTAATAATAAACTCAAAGACAGGGAAGGTAACTGCACAGCCAGAAGCTGCCAGACTCTTTGTGGCAGCCAGAGCAGAAGAAAGAGATGAAGAATGACAGTGTGGCCAAATCCCCACAGATAAACGATCCCAGTGTTTCTCACAGGCTGGGAGCAGTGCTGGGTCAGCTGTGATGAACCAAAACAGACAAGGAGACGACCGCTAAAGCAGCATGGCAGTACATTTCATGGTTAGGTCAGCCTTCAGCACTATGGTAAAAATCAAATCATCACATCCGAGAAGGTTTTTTGGGACAAAGCTATCACAGTGCGGTCTGTGACAGTTTTGTATGTCACGAATATCTGTATAGAAAAGGTGAAACATGCAAATAAAAAATATTTTCTGAAGCTTCAGTTTGTAAGATTCGACACAGTATCAAAGAAATCCCTTACTTTCCATTTTCTTCGAGCTGCAAACTTCTTGAACTTCTCCATGTTGACAGCCGACTCCTTTCTGCTGAGTGCTTGTTGAGTATCTTTTGGCTGGTTACACACACACACAAAACAAAAAACTTAAGCAATAGAAGAAATATTATGAGAATATAATTGTCCAGATAATTTCAGCACAGCTTCGACTTGGTTATGTTTGGCAAAATTCAGACAACACTATTACCAAGATTCAATTGGAACATCATCTATGGCTACAAAATAAAAGGGAAATGTACATATATAGCTAGAGCTATTAATCACAGATGACATCAAGAAGTCTGACCTTGATCCAGGGATGCTGGAGGCTGTCCTGAATCGTCATTCTCTTTCTGTAAAAAATAAAATAAACAAAGTGAGCACACAACAAAATAAATCGAAGGAACATAAGTGAGTTGTTTGAAAAAAAAAATGCTTAAAAACAACAGTTTTTTATTGTCCCATCCAGCTCCATGATGAGGCCAAGTTTTAAATTGATACATTGACAAACACTTTTATTTTTTTAGCAAAATATTAAACATATGCTGGTTCCAGCTTCTTAGATGTAAAGACTGGCTGCTTTTTAATTAACTGGCATGTTAGTTAATAAAGAGTTCACGGTTTTGAACTGTTTGCTGGACAAAAGAGTCATTTTCCCACCAGTTTTACTCATCAAACCTCTCCTAAACCACACCTAAAATAACGTATTGAGAAACATGTGAGAAGAATAATTTAAAAGACAATCAATAAGATTACTTCTTGTTGTGCCAAGCACTGTTAACGGGTGAGTAAAATGGAGATGCTGTTTCAAAACATTTATATACACACAAATATTTCCTCTTCTGATATTTATTTGAAGCCACGCTAGTTTTCAGAAAAATAGTATGTCATTGTCAAATCCACCTTAACAATCCCTTCAAACTGACATATTGTTTAAAAAAAATCTTGCTTCATTAAATGTAAGTCTGGTTACCAATAGGGAAACTGACGTGGTCTCGTACCAGACTAGTTCTCCCATCTGTTAGTCTGTTAGCTATCACATCCCTGTTTATCTTCAGTGTTCACAAACACCTGAGACAGAATGAAGAACCTGAACCACAGATCTTAAATGAACCGACTGAGGCCACAAATAACTAAAGGACTGATGTTATTTTGCAGTGTTTTCACATTTTAGGGGAACAGTGGCTCTGCTGCTTCAGTCCAGTGTCATGGTCAACATTTGAAACAGTAATCTGTGTCTTCTCCACAGGAGCCTCAATTTATCTTTCAGCCAGGCGAGCGGGTCCTTGTCTGCTCACTTTGTAGATCAATTAAAAGTTGTTCCATTCTGATGCACACGGAGGAGGATTTCTAAAAGCCCCATTACTTAGAGTTTGTAAAGTCAGACTCCTCTCTCGCAAATGTCTTCCTGTTCAAAGAGGCTCTGCCTTTTCTCTCTCTATCCTGCCTGAAGATGATTAACTTCAAACAGATAATTATTCATGCTGTGCTTCATCTCCATTGTGTTGCAGGAACAGGAGAAAGAGAGATTTTTCTGTACTCGTTACTGAAGACATTCAGTTGTTGCTAAAGGAACTTGAATTTGTGATAACCAAATCTGGATATTTGGAACTTCCATTGTTAAGTTTTCTAGTTGGTCGATTGTTAGGAGTAATCAGAGTAAAAAAAAAATTGAGATATTGATTCACTTTGTGTTGAAAAGATTAGTCAGAAAATATATTGCATATTATTTCTACAAGTTATTGATCCACTGATCATAAAAGTCAATTGTCAAGCAAAATGTAAAACCACCTGAAAACAACAAAAGTACAACTCTCTATCAGAGTCGATAACATCATATTTGTCTTAGCAGTTGTCAGTAATAACGCCAGACTTTCTCTGGGCTCTTACCAGACAAATTCAACTCAGAGTTGAAACTTTAACTTAGCCTGTGAGAAACTTTCTTTTCCTTTCTTTCTTTTATGTGACAGGCTTCATGTGGTCATTGAAAATAATCACCACAATAATAAACCACAGAAACACTCAACAGTTGCATCCTTCGCTCTCTCTTTTGGAAACACAGTTTGAGTTCCGTGTTAGCAAACCTTAGCAAGTCACTGCCAGACATTGTTTTTCAATTCAAAAAAATGAATTTGAGAAATGGGAGTCTTTCATACTTTGGATCTTTGACAAGAAGCCTCGCTATAAAGTCTTTGGCCAAGATGCTGGTGCTGCTGAAGAACTCCTCGTCAAACGTATAATCCACGGCAGACACGTTGGCCAGAGTCTCCTGCTTGTTGTCGCCCAGAAAGGGAGATGCACCGCTCAGACTGCAGGATGGGACAGAAGTTTACAGTGGGGTTAGAAGAGTAAACACTGGCTGATGGTGAGCAAGCAGAATAGAACCAGAACAACTTGGGAATTTTGAGACAGATACCATTTGATTTAGTGATGGAAGTTCATTGTTCACTGATTTAGCTACGTCATAGTTATTGAATAAGCATGAAAATATACATTTTCAACAGGGATTGTGCAGCGTTTTTACAACAATATGACTGACGAATATGCTTAGAAGGCTGATATATATTAATTACATAATTTTTTACTATCATCATAAATTGTCACCCTATCATGTCATGACCATCCTCTGCTCAGCTGATGTTCTCTGGTACATGTACTGCAGATAGCCCTGAGAGGAATGTAAGCTGTCAGGCGTGTTGATAAGATCTCTTTTGAGTTCTGGCAGTTAAACCTCTCCTGCTCGTCAGCACCAACCACTAATTAACTTGCCAGATGGGACAGACATGGAGGTTTTGCAGGTCAAGCTCAAGTTGAGTAGAAATGCATGAATTTATTGACTGTATAAGGTGCAGCTGCTCACAACTAACACGTAACTAAGACGATTCTTCATGATGCCAGGAATGAATCATCAGAAAATGATTAAATCAAGATTCTGTTGTAACGTTTGTATTTATCATTTTTCAAGAGTGATCCCAAAATGAGACTTAACTATGCACTAAGCAATATTCTTATGCTGAAAATACCCATCTTAACTTCCACCAACCTTTATTGAGATTCAAGCAGAGCTGAAAACGACTACAACACTCAATAATCCACCTCACTTATCAACATGGTTTGGACTACCGTATGTTTTCTAAGACAATGAAGTCCCCCATTTCTAAAAAATTTAAACAACTTGGAGATTTCTAATGGAGTTTTAGTTCAGATTCTTATCAAGTTGTAGCAATTTTGCTCATCACTCATGCAGAATACTCCCATTAAGTTAACCATGGGTCAGCTACTACCCTCCAATTTATCAGCATTGAAAGAGTGAGACCAAACCTAGAGGGGGCAATTTGATTAACCAGAACCACCAAGTGAACCACAGGGATTCAATAAAGCACAGGATTAGAGTTAGTAAGGAAGGAGGACTCACTAGGGCCCTTCATACTCGCCCCTTCCATTTAGCGTCATAGGGACAGTTGCATACTGAATTCAACTATTTATTGTATTCAGCATTTTCTATTCAGTTAGTCATATTGGAGAAGACATTGATCGCTGTGTTTAAATGACATAAATAGGTGTTATTCTTTTCATTCTTATAACTCCATGTTATATCATATAGGCTTTGTATTTAAAAACATGTATTATTTTATTATTTGATAAACTATATATATAGTACTAATCACATAATGTTGTTTTGAGACATGCTGTAGTTTTTGCTTGATGTTATGACACTAAATAATTTGAATTGAATTTGAATTTATTTATTTAATAGGGACGATGCAATTTAACATAATTTCAATACAAAGGCGAACTGAATGTGCTGCATCAGTTATACTATACTATACTATGCAATCTACACTGTAATGATCGGTCATGTGACTTTAAGTATTTAACACACCTGTGTATGTTCATGTGATTATGCTGGGCGAAACCAGACGAGGTGACAGGCAAAACGCGTTGTTTGCTCACAGTAAAACCATTTTTAGTGAGCACCAGATTATTTATTTATGTATTCCCATTAGGGGTTCGGAGGTGCTCCTAAGAAAACACTTTTATTGGAATGACAAGTTTTTTTCCTTCACATTGTTATTTTTTACAGGATAAGATGAGCTCTACCATACAGTTACTCTGCTGTGATGATAGGCAGTGAACGATCTATTTTCTATCATGTCGGGCAGAGCTGTCACAGCTGTGTGGGTGGGCAGCATGAACAGAGATGGTGTAGTGTGTGCATGCATGTGAACAGTTTGTACGTGTGCATGGATGTATTTGTAAGGGTGAGTTCATGTGATAAAGAGACAAAAAGATGCAGCTTTTAAAATCAACAACAGCTAACACCTCTGAATAAAGTGAGTAATGTTTGAATTTACATATTATGCAATTTTGCGATTAAATTGTTGCCAGATATTTACCTCTTTTTGACAATAATTCTCTCCATATTTGTGTGGGCATAAGGCTAATGCACCTGATAAGTACTTTTGTGCACATATTTTTCATGTCTTTCTGGAGTGTAGAGGTGTGTGGGAGCTCAGAAAGCCTTGCAGCCAGGTATAAAGAGAAGAGAACGGAATCTTCAAGAGCAAACAGCAGTTGATCTGTGGGCTGCCGAGGGCATGAACTTCACTCTGGCTGTTGAATTAAACTGTGCTGACATGTCTGCAGAAGGCTGCTTGAGAGACTTTACTACAGCTGCAGAGGATGAGGTTGGCTGACTTAACTGAATTATATGTAATAAAGCCACAAAGAAGAAGCATTTCGCTTTATCTATCATAACCTTCTTTTTTAGATTTCCCTATAACTGCTAATAGGGTAGGCACGCCATTGCAGACTTGCAAGATCCAAACAGCTGGTTGGTCAACATCAAACCCAGATGCAGTTTTAAGATGCTTAACAGTTTCTGCAGGATTTTACATTACTCCAGCAACACTACAAACACGCCAGAGAGTTCAACATAGACGAGGTCAAAGAGCAACCGTAATCTCTTTACGTCCTGACAAACATTCAGGCTGACTGTCAATTTCAGTGAGTGAGATGCCCTGGGGATGTGTTAGACAACGTAACAATAAAATATGAGGGGGGCTGTTGTTAAAGCCCTTACACTGAGGCATGTTTTCAATGCATATAACGTTAACATTTCACAAAATTATCCTTCATCACTGGTTGCCTTCAGGTACTTACAGAATGTAAGTGATCACACCAACACTCCTGATGAGAAACAGAGAGAGAGAGAGAGAGAGAGAGAGAGAGGAGAGAGATTTTAAACATCAAACAAAGCTATTGAGCATTTTGACAGCAGCGCATTGTGCAAAAGCACGCACATTTGCTTAACAGCAGATGCTCCCCAGAAATAAGAACTAACACAAACAGCTTATCAACATAATGAGTTTTTGTTTACTCACCACATGTCTGCCTCCAGGCCCAAAGGTTCATAGTTGACTACTTCTGGAGCTGTAACGCAAACACACAAAACAGAAGATTCTTTATTTTCAGGTCGACACACAAGTGATACATCAAACTGTATCTGTGTCTTCAGTTTGCTTTTAATAGGATTGGTATTTTCCCTGTCCGATCAATTTACCAGCTTAGTTCATGTAATGTCTTCTTCATGTGTCTTTATCACTTTCTCTTAGGATAACAGACTCATTTGTTTCTTTGTGGTGTTTTATATATAATCACACTTGCTTTTAACTGTGATCATTCATTTCCTCCCTTCCTCTCTCTGGTCAGGCATCAGAATGATTTATTAAATGAATAAGTAAAATCATTTCACATCTAATCAACAAACAGATACGGAGCTGTTTATTCCTGCTTGCAATGCAGCGGTGCACAGACAACCATCACAAGGCTGTTTGGGATAATGACAGTATAAGAGAGTGTAAGTATCACTGAATATTAAAGAGTATAAAATATATTTATTATGCCTATGTAATGACTAATAAAAGGAGAGTGACTCTGCTGCATATTGGTAGCACCACATGCAGCAAAGACAATTAAGACTCATTATTCCTATTCACAAATAATATGTCATGCATTTCTCCTAAAAGATAACATAAAACACATGGCATGATTATAAGATTTTATGGGGTTAAATTAGAAAAGATACAATGCTTCCTAACATTCTCTAAATATTTTTTCCAGACCTTTTCTTTCTAGTATGTTTTTATTGTGTTGTACAGTCAAGGCAGATTCTTTTGAATCTCTAAATGTTTGTTTGTTTTTAGTTTTTATTGTCTTCAAATGAATTTTTTGTATACCTTTCTGTCTTATTTAAACATATTTCAAAACCCTTAAAGCAACTTTACCTTTCCCTGTGCCTGGAATATGCAACACACCAGTAAGTACACTATTGAAGCCTTCCATTGGCTGTTATATAATTTACAGTTTTTGTGCCTGATGAATTTCAGAGCGTTCTGTTTTTCAGTTCCAGCTTTTCCTCTCATCGTTTTGACTTTTTGCCACTTGATCTTTATTTAGACCATTTGCCTGTTGTCCTGCAGGAGCGGGAACAGACTCTGATTTTGGCTGGGGATGATGCTGGGAGAGAAAGAAAAGGAACTGGCAGCCTCCAGGGGTAAAGGGGAATTTGAAGGGAGTTTGGACAGAGCTACTGATGTGTCTATCAGTTTGTGTGTGACTATGTGTTTTGGCAAGAAAAGGGCGTTCTGATAGTCTCCAGTCTATTATCATCAGGTCTCTCACTTTGTCCCTATGGCTCAGTTGGCACCTGCTATAACATTACTCAACCCCTGGGATGGAGCCAGCAAAACAGGATGGTGCAGTTTAGTGTTTCTGTGTGTATTTGTGTATGTACAGAAGAGAAAGCATGGAGAGTATATTTGTGTAAACTGATCAGCTCTGAATATTCTACATGAAACACCAAACTATGAAATAGAAAAGGATAAAGAAGATATTCACAAAGAGATACCGACCTACAAATTCTGGAGTTCCAAAAATATTTTTAAAATCGTTGCCAAAATCCATCTTGTGTGCTAGACCAAAATCAATGAGCTTGATGCGCGGGTGAGGCACTGAGCGGTTCAGCAGCATGATGTTCTCCGGCTAGACGGAAAGAGAAGAGGAACAGTTTAAAAAAAATGATAGTTAAAGAAAGAGGAGACATGGAGGACACACAGCTGGAGTGATAGTTTGGATACCAAACTCTTTATGGACCCTTACTTCTTAAGCTTTTATGAGGATGTTTATAACAATAAGATACAGGCATGAGGCTAACAGAGAAATTCAAGTACACATCTTGAATAATCTTCCCCTAATTTTCAGTGTAGGACACTAACTAAGATAAAACAAGGCAGCAAGCTGAATAGTCAAGACACAAAACCAGGAACAGGGCTGGCAGGAAGGAGGCTCATCAGCTATGGAAATCCCATGCAAAACACAAGTTAAAAAACTCTCGAGGAAGTGGGAGAAAGGAAAGGATGGCAAAGAAGCGCTTCAACCAAAGCTAAACAAGAGAAGACGGACATTCCTGAGCCATCTTTGCTCCTAATGTCGTCCTTTCAGCTCAATATGAGCTGAGCTCGGGGGTTAGCCAGAGAAGGAACAAGAACAGATTGGCTGAGTGAAACAGAGGAAACAGGAGGCACTGTGGAAATACAATCCCTCTCCAGCTCAGCTCAGTGGTTTTGTTGTCTGCTCTGTGAACACTGACAGGCTGATGTTGAAGCAGGACTGACAGAGAATTGTATCTTGTGTCCGTTCCTTACAATTACATCGACAGCTTTAGTTACTGTACAAAAACATCCATATAACAAACTTTTAAGATTTTTTTTTTGGCTTTTTGTGCCTTTAATGAAGAGATAGGACAGTGGCTAGAGTCGGAAATCAGGGAGAGAGAGAGAGAGAGTGGGAATGACATGCGGGAAAAGAGCCACAGGCTGGATTTGAACCTGGACCGCCCGCCCCGGAGGACCACGGCCTCCATACATGGGGCGCATGGGATTCTTGAAAAAAAAAAGACAATTTACGGCTTCTTCCAAATTGTAATTACGGTAAATGATTTTCAATTATTTGAAAAAGCTGACAGTCTCATGCAGTTCAATAATAAAGAAATATAGGAGAATGTAATTTGGGGGATGTTTACAAGTTGCCGCTTTTCAAGAGTTACTTGAAATCATCAGTTCAGAAGCAAATTGTGCAAGACGTCTGGTGATCAGTCAGACATCATTAGTCTGCTCTCCCAAACATATCGAGCTCTTGAACACAATCAGACCATTGATCGGCTAAATGACTGTCTCTTAGGAATTGATTTGACGCCCTTAAATTATAAGAACTTTCTGACCACTAACATCTACTACTGCTGTCATGGTTAGAACTGCACACTGCTTAAAAACACATTAAATTGATCATTGAAAGGGCACACTTTAAGTGATGAAAGCTTGAAAAAACAACAAGATGTGAACAGAATATGAGAAAACATATCGCATTTAAAGACGCTGAACTTACAACCTTTGAAATGCAATGTCTCACCGAAAGCCATTCAGCTAAATATTTTAAGTCCTAATAGGAGCCACTGGTGGACAATGAGTAACAGTAGATAAAATGAGAAGCGAAGGCTTTGTGGTTGTTAAAAGCTCTGGCATTGATCAGAAGCTGATGGCTGGGCACAGAGGTTACCCTTTTTCTGAACTCTTATTTATGACTTTCATTATAGCTCTGTAAGTGGAGGAGTCAGTGTGTTTATTCTGAAGCGACCATATATGCAGCCACAACAGAATAACTGTTCAGTGATATTGATTGAGATTTGAGTAAAAAAAAAACATCCCAACAGTCCTCCAAACTGAAGAACTGTAATGTTCAAAGGCCTAACATATTGTATGGTCGTAAATAAGTTCACAATGACCTTTAATTTTTTTCCCCTCAGGGAATATTTTACTATACTCACTGATTAAAAAGACAGAGGAGCAAACAATAGCCAAAACAACTCAGTCATCACCGTAAGCTTTAGATACTCTGTCTCTAAAAACAGAAAAACTGGTATAAAAGACACAAACATATAAACAAACATACAAAGTGAGAGGTTTTAGTTCTGTATATGTGTGTGGGAGTCATTTCAAAGAAAACATTGTGATGTGTTGTGTTTATGTAACATGACCCTTAACGAGTCGCTGTCATCATCTTTTGTGTCCATGAAATGAAAAATCATCAGCAGAGCACATCTCTTTTTTTGTTTTGGTTCTCATTTTAAGGACATTAATGAAGCTAATCAATTGAAAAGGCTCATTTGCATTTGCTGAACACAAAGGATCCATGAAGGACAAAGAGCAGAAGTGCTGTGTGCCAGATACAAATTAAATACTGGTTTACATAACATGAATTCTAATTGTCATGACGTGCAGTCTTTTTAGTGTACAAAGAGCATATGTACAGCATGGGTTTTTTTCCGCCTCTATTTGATACTTATGATAGACTCTGCATCAATTAACTGCTTTCTAACGATTCATACACAGCTAGTTTGAGCTCAAATAATTATAGTAATGTAATTTATTCTACGTACGTCACTGTGTGCTTGAAGAATGTTTTCAGTGTTTTCTGTCTTACGTTGCTTCATACCTTAAGGTCAAAGTGAGCAATTTGTTTGGAATGCAGGTAGAAGACTCCGTCCAAGATCTGCTTGAGGAACTGAGTGGCTTCTTCCTCGCTCAGCGACTCCTTCTCTGCCAGGAAGTCAAAGAGTTCTCCGCCGGCCACACTGGATGAGGAGAGCGAAAGAGAGAGAGAGAGAGGGGGAGAATTAATACATGAGATCTCTCAGATCACAGCCAGCTACAAATCCCTTCTTAACAGAGCTGAGCTGATGTAATCTAATCATCCTGGTGCATTAGAGCGCAACTAATTTACACATCCAGAGTCTGCTTAATCCAGCGGCTTTTAAACAATGCAAACCCTCATTAAAAAAAACAAAGGGAAAAGGGAAATGAACTAAAAATGTAGCTTTATTTTTCACTGGAATTGTTAATTATTATGTTTTTTAGTTTTTGCTAGATTATATTCATAAAAATGGGCAAATGAACTTGCAGGCATGATAATCGGGATGAAATTCACAGTCTACGAAAAAGTTCACAGCTCAACGCGAGAATACATGAGTTGAAGTATGACAGTTCCAAAAATAAATTGAACTTAAATAAAAACATTAACAATGATACAATACAATACAAAACAATAATACGGACTAAGAAGAATTTCTGTCTAGATTTTTGAGAATTAGATTCAACACTTGTCATATAAAAGGCTGAAATTCTACTGATTTTTTCTTAGATGTGGTGTCATGTTTATCCTGTCCCTGGTTAATTATATGTTCCCCCTCATGCCTGTTAATATCAGTGTCAGCTCTCAATAATCCCTGCCAAGACATTACCCTAGATTTTATTGAAGAAAAACTATAATTTATGAGAGAAAAGAAATGTAGAGGGCAGATTATTTCTCTTGGTCATAACTTGATCATGTGAGTGAATGAACGCCTGCAGCAAGGGGAAGTGTGAGGGAGAAGCAGAAGAAAGAGGCAGAGTGCAGATAACTATAATCACAGCCATGGTTATTCAGTGGTTGAGCAATCATTCAGCCTTCGAACACGTGTTTGTATCACAATATGTGTGAGGAAATAAACTGACTTCCATTTTTTTTATTCCCCATATAAAGTTTTTATAATTTACCAAATTCTTTTGCAGAAATTCAGACCTAAAAAAACACACTGCTCCTCCCTTCAGGGAGGTCTCACAAGACCAGCTGCACAGCTGGGGCCCCTACCCACCAAACACCCACTCTACATAATTATTTCATCATCTGCTTCAGGGGTTAGCAGACTGATTAAACACACCTCATAGATAGGGAAAAAATGGCTTCTACCCCAACATGTCACTCCATTGCTGTGAATATAATAATGCAGAGCTGAACAGCAGGAGATGTGTGAGAATATAAAGGACAAAGCATGAAGTCAAACATTTTAGTATCCACATGTGACATGTTGTTTTAACTTCCCGGGGACCCTGAGCTGTCACTTCTAACCATGAAGTGGAAGTAATTTGTAATAATTATCAGTTCTCTGACTGTATGAAAACAAATCATCTTCTCTAGTAGACCTGTCTGCTTATACATTATGTTCATTATGTGATTTCTGCATTTCTCATGCTTTGTGTAGACCCTAGGAAAAATATATTTTTAACTCTGGTGCAGTCAAACAGGGAACCACATTTAATAGAAAAAGTTTATAAAAAATGTGCAGTTACCCCCGAATTTGGCTTTTTGTAGGCTGCAGTATGTGACCTCATTCCAAGACCAATAGTAAAAAGGAAACAAGTCAATGGAGTGTTTAAACACACTATCAGCAACCGTGGAGCTTTAAGGGTAAACGCTTAGCAACTAGTCATTGCCCACCAGCCAGTTTAACCAAAGAGAGGTTACGTTCTAATAACATGATGTGCTTAGTCTTATAAGTTTATAATAAAGTCAATAATAAAGTGACATTTAGTACTGACTTCATGTTAACAGTGGTGGTTACAGGATATGTGACAAATGTCAGCCCGGTTACATACACTTTTCAGTTAAGATAACAGGTTGTTTAGGAGAAAATATCTTTATGCTTTACTTTAAAGGAGCAATATGAAACTCTACCACGTAGCGTTTTAAGAGGATACTGCAGTCCAAATTCAAAACAGTGGAGGGAGCCCCCTCCTCCCTAGAGTCTATTCGCACACAGGTTGCCATGTGGAGGACACGGAAGCTTCGGTGTTTAACCAGCTCTGCACTTTAGTCTTGAAAACTTTCTGTGTTCTATTTCTAACCTTTTTCCTCTTTTTAAGATAATCTCCAACATTGTTCCTAGTTTTACCACGTTTTTGGTCGATGTCTGATTATAATGTAAGGTCATTTAATGATTTAATTCAGTAGATATGTTACTTGCTCCTTTAACAATTCTACATTGGATCTAGAAATCAAAAAGCTTGGATCATGTTGCTTGTTACTTGTATTATTGTCATCATGGAAGATAAATTACAGTTGCTGTGACAACTCGAATAGTTGTGCAATCAGACAATCAAATCCAGGAAGTACAGACAGACTTTGAGGTATTTTAACATATAAAAAAAAACACTTCCTGGTTAATCTTCGACCAGTTCCCCATAGCAACATGGACTCAAAAAAAAAAAACAGACTGACTGACATAACAGGGACAAACACTGTGCCATGAGTTTATTCAAGGATGGGAATCCAAAGAGGGTTTAGATGATTAGGTAAAAAAAAAAAATGATTAGGTAAAATCCAATTACAGCCAAGTGCTGCAAGTGTGCGCGACAGACAGCATTCAAAACCATTAAGATATTTAGATAAGTCAAACGCTAAAGCTTCCTTAATCAGTACAGGGCCTACAGAACCATAGCACTTAACCATTCGTAGAATAGCCTTCAAATTTTACAGACTGTTATAAACTTTAAAATTCAGCCAAAACACCAAGTGAGCAGTTTGGTAACTGGAGCACAATCCACCTATAAGAGCATATTCCCCCCCCCCATGATACAAAATCTCAGGGAGGTTTTACTAAAACAGAAACCTTAAAAAAGTTGATAACATAAAATATTTTATTTAAATCTATCCCAACACAATTTAACAATTCAGCGTGGAAGTGAGCAATTTCACAAGTGAGAGTGCAGATTGAATGTGTGAGATACAGAGTGAGCTGTGAAGGTGTTAGATGGCAAACTGAGCTAAACAACAAGACAGATTCCCTCTTGAAGGAGAAGGAGTAAGAAGGAGAGCTAACCAGGGCTGGTCTTATCCAGGCTGATCAGGTTGAAACATCAAATGATGAACCTCCAAAAAAGCAAGACCACCTCCTAGAAGTGGCAGTGAGCTGTTAACCTTTATTGCTCCTATCTACAACTATTGTTACAAAGTCTTACTTTAAAGGAAAATCACAGTAATTAGACTTTTATAAGCCATTTCTTCCAGACTGACGTTTGTAGGGTATACATCATCCTCTAAAATAGGTAACATGTCCTTTAAGAGATCCTTGTAGAGAATGTATCAGTCCGTAAAGCCATTTTTTCAAGCCTCAAAAGATCACCCATTAACTTGTAGTACCAGTTTACTTTAGAACTGGAAATGAGCCATAGACCGATTATTCACACACGTGCTGCACTGTAGGCCTGAACAGTGTGTGTTATGTCTTCCTTGCGACTCTATCGAATGTGATCACTGGAATGTTGTCCTTCAGCTCTTAACAATTACACTCATTACAGCTGGCGGTAGGTTGTTAAGACTAATGGAGGTGTACTGCATTCTGCTTTTGCTCTTATTGTTCAAATGAGCGTGTCAGCTGGATTCTTGTGGTGTAAACATGACTGCTTCTACAGGCAATGGAGTTCCATGTAAACTGGTAAAACAGGTCTAACTGACCCTTCATGAAAACAGAGGCCTTGAGCCACACAAAACCTTTAACGATTATAGTCACAGACGCAGTTTGCGTTCAATCCACCCAGAACACTGGATACTATGACAGTTAAAGAAATCCCAATCTGGTTGAGTTTTTTTTTTAACCTTTAAAGTGCCACTCCAGCTATTTCACACGGACACAAATGAGAGAGAAAGTCACATCCTGCATTCTTTTCAGAAGCAGATTTTCTACTGATTGAGAATCCTTGCCTTGGAAAAAAGTTAAAAAGAGGCTGTTTCAGCAGCAAGCAGTTTTAAGCATTATAAATAAGTATATATATAACAGCTATATGCTAAGTGGTCACATTGGCTTCTGTATATATAGCCTCATATGGCGACATTATTAATTTCAGCGTGTTTCATAACCAGCTAAAATCCTTCACTGGACCTTTATGCAGAATGTCATCAAAAATGCCGAATTATTTTTAAATGAGTTTATCATGGAATTCTCCCACCATTTTCTAAAACCTTATACTGCCTTTTTATTTAGCAAAGGTTTTAATTTTAAATATTTTAGAAGTACTTCCTGGTTGTAGATAGTGTTTACTTTGTTCTCAGTATGGAAAATAAAGAATGCACTCACAGCTCTAGGATCAGGATGACCTCAGCCTTGTTCTCAAAGACCTCCTGGAGGGTGATGATGTTGGGATGCTGGATCTCTTTCAGGATGTTCACCTCACGCTCGATATCCTCCCTCGTCACCCCCCGTCGACTCGACTTGCTGCGACGTTTCTTGATGAATTTGGCAGCGTACTCCACACCTGTACTCCTCTGCCGACATCGTCTGACCACAGCAAACTGGCCGCTAGTGCAAAAAGAGGACATTTTCACAAAGGTGCATCTAGCTACTTGAGTTAGAGAACTACAGTGAGGATACAGCACACAGAATTAAGAAATATATATCAAAATCAGACAACGCCAATTTATACATCCTCATTCTATATATATTAAAAAAAGATTAATAGCCTTGTCTGCAGCCTGACATAAAACACAAAAACCTAAGCTTAAAGGAGTGGGCAGGATTTTAAGACATTACAACCGTTGATCAGATGCAGCTTTAATTAACCAAACCATGAATCATGATCGACTGACACTGCCTGAAAACAGAAATAGAAATGTGTTCTTTACAAAATCACTATCCTGAGCCGAGTCAAGGACTAATCTTGTAAACAAGAGGAGGTGTTTCAGAGACTTACTCAAATGTACTAAAACCCAATTTGTCTGTTCCATTCAATATTAAAATCAGCATGGGTTATATAGTGTACTCTTTATCCTTGTTTCTCCCCCAAATCTGTTTTATCTTAGAGAAGTGAGCAAACTGAGCCCGAACCACTTGTTTACGTTAGTTGTGGTGCAGAGTTTAGAATACAAACATCTGTCTGTGCCCTCATCAGCAATTAACAGAATATTAATTACAGCAGGGAAGCAAAGCGCTTACTGTGACACCAATTGCAGCTGAGCAAAAAATCAACACAGCTGACAAACACAATCAACTTTAGACTTGTGTTTGACCATAGGCTGTATAAAACATGGATGTAGTCTCTGTAATGTCATCCATTGGTTTCTTAAGGCAACTTCTGAAGCGCATCAATGGCAGTGGCCATATTGGAAATTCTGTCTCAAACTAACTAACGGTCTACCTAGTATAAAAGGTAAAGACCTGGAGCTGAGGTGGGCCTTAAGCCCCCAGACTAACCCACAATTCACACATACTCCGTGCGCGCCGTGGTCCGTCAGCGCCACGGTTTTGCTCTGTCGGACGGCTTGCGCCCATTCACACTGGATCTGTTTCTGCGACGTCAGTGCAGCGGAGCGCACCCATGACACATCACAAGAGAACTACAAGATCCCGCAGGAATAAAGAGAAAAACATGCAAACAACATGTTGCTTTGTCTTTCTGAGGATGCACTGTTGTTAATTCGGTTCCTGTTTTGACGTAATGTTGATAAAGTGATGAAAAATACGATCGAGAGTCCGTATATTGTGTTTTATTTTGAAATTGACCGGATGCTCTGTGCGTTTCCTTGTCTGACTTCCTGTCCGGGCTGTCATATCTCTGTCCAGCTTGACGCGAACAGCGTACTCCGGCGAAAATAGACTCGCTGCGTATTTGAAACGGAGCAGAGCGCAGTGCCGTCAGTGGCTCGCGCCGGAGACGGACCGCAGCGCGCCCTGTGTGAACACAATGATTGACTAGAGTGGAAGCTAAGTACAACGTAGTGCGCAGCGCTGACGGACCGTGGCGCGCACGGAGTATGTGTGAATTGGGCTTAAAAGTGCACCCATCATAAGTCAGATCAGCTAAGGCCATTAATATGAATAACTCTTTGTCTTAATATCAAAATGGATGAGATAAAAAAAAAAAATGGACGGCCATACAGCGTGTCAATGAAGTAACGACCTATTCAAACCATATGTCTTTTTTGAACCAGGCCTTGAACACGTTTTATTTCTGCTGTAAAAACAGGCATTTAAGAATGGGTGTGTATGTGGTTTCCAGGGCTTTTACAGCCAGCCTCATGTTGATGTATACTCGAGGGACTGCAGGTGTTCCACTTCTGCATTTTTTATCAACACCGGAGGTTGCCATTTGTGTTTATTTATGGCACATTTTACAATTCTTAGATCAAACAACCCTTCATGTTTGAAGTAAGAAGCTTTAATTTCCACAATATTGAGCACTCACAGTCAAGATGTGTATACATTGTATTTACTGATAAAGTACTTGCATCTGGATCTAAGGGCGCGGTCACACTTGCTATCTGTACCGTGCCCAAGCACGTTTCAACGTTAAAGTCCAGTTAGTTTGGCCAGTGTGACTGCTCCGTGCCGTGCTCAGGCATGGTACACTTCCTTGGCTTTGGCACAATTCACGCACATGTGTGGCAGCGGACTCGGCTGCGCGTCTGTTTCATTTTTTTATTTATTTATGGCTGTGTGATAAAATGGCTTAAATTAAATGGCACAGCGGGGGGCCAATCATGCTTGAGTATGGCACGGTACAGATGGCCAGTGTGACCGCGCCCTGAGAAGTATTTTTTTTCCTAAATTTTAAATATTTATTTTGGAACATTTGTAAAATGAGTCAATTAGTTACTATCAGCTCTCAGGTATGACCATACCTATTATACATACAAGAAATTCAAACTAGAGATGGGACTGATACGATCTTAGATCTGTATCGGGTCTGATATTGATGTTATTTCTGTATGGGATATCGGATTGACGGCACCGATCCACATCACTGATTAAGAAAGATGGTTGGGCACTTTAAATATTCTCAACTCGTATACTCTCACTTTGAAGACGTTTAGACTGAACTGTAAGAAGTGTCCACAAATTGTCTCCATGACAACGTTCAGACAAGATGGAACAGCTCCTCCTTCAATCTTCTCACCCTCAACAATCTGCAGCAGACACAATCTTAAGTTAAGTGGAATAACAAATCTTGTCTGTTTTTTGTTGAGGAGCACACAAGTACTTTAACCATCCAGACTCTTTGAATGTGGTGAGCATGTGTGACATTTAAGCGGGACAATTTACTCTCAAGTATGAACAACACAGGAGTTGTTATGGAAATTTCACCAACATGTTGCTGTGCAGGGATGTTGTTAAACGCTGTTCTCTCCCTGGATAACTCTGACTCTACTGTCACTCTACCACAACATGCCAGAAAATCCACACAGGAAAGCAAGGACACTTGGCTGAGGGCTGCTGACACCCCCGCTTGTGCCTCCTCACAGCCCTGGCAATCATGAGGCACTTAGTGTACCAAACACCCACAGAGGAGGAAGAGAACAAGGGAGTAAGGGGTGAGAAAAATTGAGTGAGAGAAACCAGAGACAGAGAGGCAAATTCCGGCACAATTTCTGATTTCTGTGGCCACATTTTCCAAGCTTCCTCTGCATTGACAAGAAAGAAAAGTAGCCCAAATAAAGAAAGAGTCCAGCACTGTCATTGTACACAGTCCTCCCAGGACTAGAGAAACACAGTCATCAGGAAGAAGTGTGGCAATTGAGTTCCACTTTAATCATCTATTTAATATAGAAATGTAGGACCCTAGCTACAATACTTGCAGTTGCAAAGGAGCTTTAAAGCTAAGAAAAATAAAATGTGTCAACAGCAAACTCCCTCTAGGGATGTAAGAAGCAAAAAAACATCACCCTGATCTGACCCGTAGCTGTAGGGCATCCCTTGGGCTGATCTTTGGTGTCTGAAGCCATGTCCTCATTCATATGGATGAATCAGATTTTTTTTATTTTTTAGGTTTTATTCAGCTCTGGCATCCAAAACGACACTTCTAATATTTTTTGTGAAGGTTTGCTTTTTAGATTTGTACCGTAATTTATTTTGGAAAATTAAGAGCATTCGGGTTACAGGGGTTCCCAACCCTTTTTTTCTTTGGAGCCCCCCCCCCTACTTACATCTAAGAAAAGCTGAGCCACTCACACTATATGACATTCAAATGGCACACCAAAATGCAAATACAGTATGTACTCCTGTAAAAAGGTTAATGCTGGAAACTAAAGACAGCTTGCTTTCTTGCTTGTTTTGTTTGCAATAAATCTAGTGATGAAAAAATAGTCTTTTTCTCCAGTCCCTGTTTTTGTGATTGCTACTTTGTTTGAAACATTTTCTGTAAGACCAACAAGACAATCTGCTTCTGGTTCCACCATTATGTGTAATAGTGTTTGTATTCGATTTTCAGTTGTATTGAATCGACATTGTCTACATTATTTTCTAAAATGCTGCACAAACACTCAACTGAGATAGTTAGCCCTTTGTAAACATGGTTATTTTGTGCCCACGTTAATATACGAGAACAGTGTTTTAACTACTTTGTCAACACCAGATTAGTTCGGATTGCGGGACAAAAAGTATGACAGCAGGAAGAAAAAAATCAAACATACCCATTTTAAACATTTCTAACTTGATGAAACATAATTTTACAAAACCACTAACTACATTCAAGTGACACATCTGAAGCGAAGTAATCCATTTCCGACCACTACAAATGTTTGCTGAGAACTGAAGTGCAGGCTAGTTAAAGGGAATAATGTGTCTTTAAGGAAATGACATGTCCAGCGAGCCAGCCAGAGACATGAAGCAGACAATGGGAAGAGGGAGCTGAGGAAGAGGGCTTTCTCATGCTAATAACACTTCCACCCCCATTCAGTCTGGCTTAACTGTTTTGTCAGCCAGGCCTCCGCTGTGTAGACAGAAGGGACAGAAACATCGGGATTTGATGTTTTTCTTACAGGAAATCTGCCAGAAGAGTGCAAAGGGCTGTTGTTCGAACTGTGTACTATATGTCATATTGCACATGCACAAAAACCATAGGACTCTCCAATCTGTATACAAACAACTGAACACCTGTTACACTCGTGCCTGGATAGAAAAGCAATAATAAGTCAATGAGTGACGCTATCATCATACCTTTAATGATAATCACTTTGGCAACAAACAGGCACAAAAAGTAAAGTCTCAGAAAACTACAGTGATGAGAATCTGATTATGTTTTTCATACCCATGTTTTTTTTTGTTTAAGTGTATAGTGCATACATTTTGCCAGCATATTATGTGCGTCTGTATTTATCAGCCCCTTTTTAGACAGACATTGACAGTAGGGGAGCCACTTAACTGAAAGATCGCAGCTTAACATGTAACCTTATCAAATCATTGAAAACAGAAAATTAAGGGAAAACTTAATAAAGGCAATCAGATTTCTGAGAACATCCTTCAGCTCATTCTTAGGCTGTCAAACTATCCACAGTCAAATGTTCATGCAGAGAGAAAAGTGTTAG